ATTCAAAGGGGAAAAGGAGGGACCCTTATTGGGGACCCCTACCCTATGATGGGCTATATAATGGGTACAAAATAGCTATATTAAGGGTATATACCTAGGGGTCCTTATTAAGGGTCCCTCCTTTTACCCTTGGATTCATGCCGGCACCATGCTTGGACTCTTCAAAACCCTAAGGCTCCACTTGCCCATATAACATAGTGTACACTTGAGCCTTAAAGTACTTATATAGGGACTCCTTTAACACTTAAGTATCCCCAGTTCTTACAAATCCCACCACCCCGAAACCAAGGCACTTGTAGAGTATGCGGCCCCAGGGCGTCAGGCATTGCCTGAGATCCCCGTCAGACAAGGCTTTGTCCGGTGAATACTATGGTGTAACGTAGAATGGGCTAGAATGGAAGGGTATGACTATACCCTTAGCGCCCTATAGGTATGACTAACCCTAAGCAGCCTGAAAGCTTTATTCAACCAAGCCCTCTCTGCGAGGAGGTGCCGCGGAGTAGTTCAAGGCCTCGGGCTTTGGTTTTTCGTGTAGGGATCGGGGAGACTTGTGTTACGGCCTCTAGAGCGTCGTCTAGGTTCTGGTGTGAGGTTTCAACCGTCCAGGGGTAGGGTAGCTTGAGCGAGGTGAATTTACCGGGCCCTTCTCCGTCATTGTGGGGTGCAGTTATATGCAGTCGGGGTTCATGGGTTCCACATAATCACCAGGTCGCTCGACGCATGACTGGGTCTCATTTACACGATGCTCTCCCGACCGCTGATTTATAAGGGCCTAAATAAATACCAAAACTGTTTTAAGGGGGTTCCTTATTATGATTATCGTGTAATGGGCCCCAAAGCCCTGTTCTAATTATTAAGACCCCAATTATTAAGACCCCTATGTTAACCCTTAACCTCAAAATCCTCCAATCCTGTGATGGGGCAGTTTGAGCTCCATGCGCAGCAGACTCCAATGCCTGTCATGTGCTCTGCAGCCGCTGAAACCCGATGCATAATATAGGCCTTAAAATTTGAATAGGGTTTTGGGGCCATTATACTAATAAGGACCCCCCCCAAAAAATAGTATAGGTATAATTATTAAGGCCCCTATATCTATCTATATACATATATACGTACATATATACGTATATATATATATATTAGGGGTTTCCTCTAACAGTAATTCTTTATAGGGTTCTGGTGGAGGATTGAACACTTATTCCTGGGAAGGACTAGACACTTAATTCTGAGGGATTGAACACTTATTTTTGGGAGGATTAGACACTTATTTGGGAGGGATTGAACACTTATTTTTGGGAGGATTAGACACTTATTTTGGAGGGATTGAACACTTATTTTTGGGAGGATTAGACACTTATTTCAAAGGGATTGAACACTTATTTTGGGGCCGATTGAACACTTATTTGGGGCCGATTGAACACTTATTTGGGGCCGATTGAACACTTATTTTGGGGCCGATTGAACACTTATTTGGGGCCGATTGAACACTTATTTTGGGGCCGATTGAACACTTATTTGGGGCCGATTGAACACTTATTTTGGGGCCGATTGAACACTTATTTGGGGCCGATTGAACACTTATTTTGATTGAACACTTATTTGGGGCCGATTGAACACTTATTTGGGGGCACTCGACACTTATTTGGGGGCCGACACTTATTTTGGGGGCGACACTTATTTGGGGGCCGATTGAACACTTATTTGGGCCGATTGAGCACTTATTTTGGGGTCGATTGAACACTTATTTGGGGCCGATTGAACACTTATTTGGGGCCGATTGAACACTTATTTTGGGGGCCGCTCGACACTTATTTTGGGGGCCGCTCGACACTTATTTGGGGGCCACTCGACACTTATTGTGGGGCCACTCGACACTTAGTTGGAGGGTGTTCAATCGGCCCCAAATAAGTGTTCAATCGGCCCCAAAATAAGTGTCGAGTGGCCCCCAAATAAGTGTCGAGCGGCCCCCAAAATAAGTGTCGAGTGGCCCCCAAAAATAAGTGTCGAGTGGCCCCCAAATAAGCGTCGAGTGCCCCCCAAAATAAGTGTCGAGTGGCCCCCAAATAAGTGTCGAGTGGCCCCCAAATAAGTGTTCAATCGGCCCCAAAATAAGTGTTCAATGGGCCCCAAATAAGTGTTCAATCGGCCCCAAATAAGTGTTCAATCGGCCCCAAAATAAGTGTTCAATCGGCCCCAAATAAGTGTTCAATCGGCCCCAAATAAGTGTTCAATCGACCCCAAAATAAGTGCTCAATCGGCCCAAATAAGTGTTCAATCGGCCCCAAAATAAGTGTCGAGTGGCCCCCAAATAAGTGTTCAATTGGCCCCCAAAATAAGTGTTCAATTGGCCCCAAATAAGTGTTCAATCGGCCCCAAAATAAGTGTCGAGTAGCCCCCAAATAAGTGTTCAATCGACCCCAAAATAAGTGTTCAATCGATCCCAAATGTGGGTTCAATCGGCCCCAAAATAAGTGTTCAATCGGCCCCAAAATAAGTGTTCAATCGACCCCAAAATAAGTGTTCAATCGGCCTCGAAATAAGTGTTCAATCGACCCCAAATAAGTGTTGAATCGGCCCCAAATAAGTGTCGAGTAGCCCCCAAATAAGTGTTCAATCTACATACCTTTCTGAAAGGCTTTTCTCCTGTAAAGAGAGCATGCCAGTTACTGTTAGAGGCAGCCCCTAATATATATATATATATATAGTAGCCATTTGCTCTCACCCTAGAGCCATGATTCATCCGATTTGTACCTTTTTCGTCGATTGCGCTGCAACTCAAACTTGCATCGCGAAGAATGAATACGAGAAGAAGAAACCCCTGGAAAATCTTTTGGGAACTACACAGGAGTTCACAGATCACCCCTACGTTGCTACATCCCAACGCCGGAAACCCCGAAACCCAAAACCCAATTCCCCTTTCGGAGTGACAGCCTACTGCACTTGGACCCCCCCTGCCCCCCCAAACCCTAACCCCAGGTCCTGCTGGACCCTCTGCCCTGCCCTCAAGTACTCTCAAAACCGGTTCAACTGAACAAAACATTTGTATCCTCACCCCGAATCTGTGGAAACCCAAACAACGCTTTTATGCCTTCGGGCCCTCATCCTGAAAGAAGCGGATCAGGACCCGGCGCGGCCGACTCTCCGGCAGTGCGACGATGACCTTCTGAATCTATTGGGCCGACGTCATTAGTGGTTGCGGTCTTGGGTTTTGCAAAGTAGGGGTCTTAATGATTGGAACAGATTTTTGGGGTAGAATGCTCAAGGAACAGTAATGGCAATTGTTCAGGCGTCTATATTCTTCCCGCCGAACGAGAGTTTTGTAGGGTCTCGGTTACAAATAGCTGGAGATCTAGATGTCTCTGCTTAAGGTTGGAGTTCAGAGCATTCGGCTTACTATTGGTCGTAATACAATATCCTAGAAAGTTTCGTGATGCATTTCGGTTTGGAATTGCAGGATTTCATCTGACCCTGGGCCGGACCCCCTTTGGATGGAACCGAGTGAATCTCAGCCGCGGGACCTGCACAGTCATGTCTGGCGTGATCTTCCGGCAGCGCAAAAGCTGGCTCGGCTTCGTTTTGAAAGTGAAGAAAGTGAAAGAACGTGATGATGATGATGCGGATTATGCAGGTGTTGGTGACGTGATGATGAAGATGACGGTGACGATGATGACGATGGGGATTATGACAGGGATGTTGATGATGATGATGATGATGATGATGATGATGCAGATTATGATGATGACGACCGGGATGGCCACGGGGTACTGATGGCTACAAACATAATGTGGCAGGATGCTGGTGAAAGAGAACGGTGAGCGCAACTGCGCTTGCTATGATTACGAAGAATGCTGACACCAGCACCACTAATGTAAATTGGCACTGCAACTATTAACTGCCTCTGGTCATTGATATCATCGTCATCATCATCACCAGCACCGTCGTCACCAACCACACTCACCACCGCCATCATCAACCCCGTGACCAATGTCAGCATCGCCGTCACCGCACTGCATGCATCCTCAGCGCGTTCTTACTGGTATTAGATTTATTATTACAACTAGTGTTTGTCATGATTAGTACTACTCCACTACTGCTACTACTACTACTACTACCACTACTGCTAGTGCTGCTACTGCTACTGCTACTACTACTACTACTACTACTACTACTACTCCTACTCCTACTCCTACTCCTACTCCTACTCCTACTCCTACTCCTACTATACTACTACTACTACTACTACTACTACTACTACTACTACTACTACTACTACTACTACTACTACTACTACTACTACTACTACTACTACGACTACGACTGCTACTACTACTACTACTACTACTACTACTCCTACTGCTACTGCTACTGCTACTGCTACTTCTACTACTACTAATACCATGACTTTTATTTGTCAGTTTTATCGTTACTATCAATAAGGCTAACATCATTGCTACGAATTAGTATCTTTGTCATCCTTATCATTATTACTTACCATTCTAGGAGGGTCGAGCCTCCCGGTGGCGCAAGCAAACGTGCGTCGAATGTGTTTGTGGCAACTGCATTTCCAGCTTCGCAGCTGCATAAGCAAAAGAGCCGCTGCCCCCATAAAGCCCATTATTTATTATTACAATTGTTATTTTACATATGTATATGTTTTCATATGTACTTATTTGTTTTCATGGTTATCTTCATACTTCTCTCTTAATGTTGCGATAGATACTTTTAACATTATGGTGCTTATTCGCCCAATCTGAACCAGACTGACGAACTAGACTTTGTAGTCACTGCCGCCTCTTCAGTCTGCAGACTAATACCTTGGGTCTTACTCAAAACTCCGGGCAAATTCATCTTCAATCAGTATTACGACGAATATTGTTATTATTTTTATTATTTTTTGTTATTATTCTTAGTGAACATTGTTATCATTCTTACTGTTTTTATTATTAGTATTTTTATTGGTATAATTAACTGTTCGTAGCGTTTTGCAGCTCCACTCAGCTATGGCCATGCTGGCACCGCTACCCGCGCGCGTGCCCCCGCCTCCGACAGAGCGCCATGACGTCTTTAAGCAAAGCGTGGCATAGGGGGTTTAAGAGGGTAGGAGTTTAGGGATTTAGGGTTTAGGGTTAAGAGTTTAATTAGGGTCCAGGATTTAGGGTTCAGGGTTCAGGTCTGATAGACATGCGCGATATGGGTTTACGCTCTGGGCTTTGAGCAAAACGGTTTAGGGTTCATGGTCTACCTTCCCCTAGAAAAAGTACCTTTAGTCTCCATTGTAGTTGCTTTTTTGGGTTTAACCAATTATATAGTAAGGATCCTATAAGGTAGCCCCAAAAAGGAGCTACAATGGAGACTATAGGTAACCTATCTTTTTCAGGACTTATACAAGAAAATCGAATTAGGGGACCCTAAAACGGTAGGTTCTTTAGGGTCCAAGTAGGGCCTGGGGTGCAGGGACTTGGGCTTGAGGAGGTCTCTTGGATCTGGGTTTACGCATTGGGATTTCGGGGGTTTAGGGGGATCTGAGTGCTTATAAGTTCTTGTCACTTGAGGCAATAGCATTTGCAAGTGGAGCTCGAACTATCTTCAGACATAGTTTGAGGTTCAGGGGTTGCGCCTCCAATCTTCAGATGCATGTTACCACGGACCGCGCGAAATCGCAGGGTTCCGATCTTGAGATGTAGCTTACCGCGGAATGCAAATGCTGGTGCATGAATGCTAAGGTAGCATTCGTGCTGGCTTTCGGGGTCAGGGTGTTGCTTTTGATTGTCTCTGCCATGCGTCAGAGCAGCCTACGACCCCAGGGGTGTAATTTGTGTAGGTTTAGGGTTTTGGGGTCTAGGGTTTAGGGATTAGGGGTTTAGGGTTCAGGGTTTAGGGGTTTAGGGTTTAGGGTCGTAATTCTCTTACATTCCCTGTGATAAAGGTCTACTACTACAAAATGCCAGTGGTTCAGTGTTCCAGGCCCCTATCATGGACATACAATTATGGCTACCCCTCGTATAACCGCCACTTGTAACTATCAAAAACCCTAAACCTTAAACCCCAAACCCTATAGATTCCTTACATCAGGGAACCCCTCTTACAACCCCCACTTATAACTACCCATGAACCTCCCGGTAGAGGTCTTCAGGTTCGAGACCGGCAGCAACATTCAACCTGAGAAATCGCAGCAGTCCCGTGCTGTCGATTGGCACATTATGGAGGTCTGAACACTCTAATTAGAGTGTGTGTGTGTTCCAGGTATGTGTATGTGCGTGCGTGTATCTGCACATTATGTGTTTGTCTTCGTTTGCTTTCCTTCATGCAAGTGAGACTGTATTTAGCTTATTGCGTAGGTTTACATTGGTATGTAGGAATGTTCGGATTGTTATGATGTTCAAGCTTAAAAACCACTTTATATGCCATCGAATAGCTTCCGCAAGCGAAAATACATAAGGTAATACGAAAAGACATTTCGACATATTGAAGCCCTTCTGTTCAAGTCTAATTGTCACCCCCCTCCCCTCTTATGAATTTGCAACCCGCAAAATTCTACCTAGCACTAGGCATCATGCTGCGCCGTCCTTGGGCCACAGCGCCCGCGCAGCCGGCGCCCTCACAGCCGCGGCTGCGGCCGCCGTTGTCAGCCGACGCCCGGAAACAGTTCGAAGCCAGGCACGAGCATTGGGTCTTGATAAATTGGATGGACGTTGGGGAGTCGGTCCAGGTTAGTAAGTAAAGTTATAAGTCCCCTAATTGGGGTTGTCAGTAATAAGTATAGCTGCCTTCCTAAACCCTAAACCCTAAACCCTAAACCCTAAACCCCTAAACCCCTAAACCCTAAACCCTAAACCCTAAACCCTAAACCCTATATGTGTAACCTAGTTCCTATCCCAGTGTTCTTCAGTATCGAGCTTCAGATTTCTACGAAGCTGCGAGGCTCAGAGGGGTGCGGGGCTGGAGGCAAAGGTCGGGCTACTTCGGCTAGACTTCGTAGCTGAGTAGGGTTTAGGGTTTAGGGTTTAGGGGGATACACTTCACACTTTCGGGGACAAGATTGCCCCCTATAGAACTATAAGTCTACAGTTTTGGGGGGGCTTATGAACTCAGCAACTAAGTAGAGGAGGTCGGGCACCAGACGGAGTCCACGGCAAGTGTCGGGGCCGTGGTTTTTGGCCTCTCTGAGTCAAGCAGGTATACGAAGTGGTTTAGGGCATAAAGTAACAATCACCACAGTCGTTGCATCCTAAGACAACCACGACAGCAACAAGCTCATCTTCCTTTTCCGCTCTTCTGCATGTGGTGGAGCATAGCTACATTCGGGCTTGTAGCACCTTGCCGGAATCCCGGAACCTGCACTGATACCTGTTTCATCGTGCATACAGATAGATGGCAGTTTCCGAAAATAGGGGGCCCTCATGTAGCACCTTGAATGGTATGATCCTTATTATAAGAGCCCCAAATTAAGGTACCCTAATTTTCGGAAACTCCCAGATGGCTAGATCGTGAGGGAGGGAGACAAAAGTGTCGATCAAGTGCGTTTACATACCTACCTACCTACCTACCCGCCTACCTACCGACCTACCTACCTACGCCATGTACACACACCTATATACGTATATAGGCATGTGTATGTATCTCACTTATATGCATATACATACATACATACATATATATATATATATGTACATACAGAAAGCTTATGTACTTGTGTGCTTTGCGTGTTTCTATCATGAGTGTGTGCGTGTGCGTGTAATTGTTTATGTGGTTATTCATTCACAACTTTCCGTATTCATACATATATATATATATATGTATGTATGTATGTATGTATGTACTTAGAATAGAAACAACTTTCGCAAGACGGTACCAACTGAACAAGCTTCCTTGAAACCTAGCTGTTCGACTGTCATTCAGAAATTACTAGTTAGCCTAAACCCTAAACCATCAACACTAAGCGCCAAGCCCCTAAACCCTAAACCGCTAAATCCTAAACCCCTAAACCCGAACCCCTTACATCCCGAACCCTAAGATCCTAAACCCCTACCATTTAAAAACCTAAAACCCAAGCCGTAAAGACCCGAAACACTACAGCGGAGGTGCTCTTGAGGGCTGCGGGCTCGGACTTTGCCATCATCCGCTTCAGGACTCGGTTTAGGGTCGAGGGCCTCGGGTCTATAATTTAGGGATTAGGGTTTTAGGGTTTAAAGTTTAGGGTTTTAGGGTTTAGGGTTAGGGTTTTGGGTTTTGCGTTTAAGGCCTCGGGTTGAGGGTTTAGGGTTTCGGGTCTGGGCTAGTTGCTTTTTGTGTTGGTTTGGGTGAAATTGGGCTTACAGGGGTTCTAAGTCCCAAATATCCCTTTAGGTGCGGAGATTCAGGGTTTTCGACAGCCTGTGTAGGAAATGCAGCCTGCGTAGGAGATGAACGATGGGGTTAAAATGTCGGTGCTTGAATTTGAGGGGTTGGGGCATATGCTTTGGGTACCGGTTAAGGTTTTCGGTCAGACTTTTGGTTCTGCATGCTAGACCGGCTGTTCATGCATTGCAAGTAAGACAGTGCGAATAGCACGCTTTCGTGTCTTCACACGGATAGGTAGCATGAATTGCCACCTATGTATGTATTGAACTGCTGTCATGATAACACAGTCTGGGAAGGGGTATGGTCAGCAGTTACTACCCAGCTACGTTGAATCATACATGTTGTCACTGCTCTTACCAATCTGACTTTATGGAGGCTAGCCAGTCTCGCCCTGATGCTACTGTTGATTTTTGCAGACTCGGGCATAGCGCACGCTTTGACTCGTTAGGCTTCCGGTTGCTACAAGTCTGCTGGCTGGACTGCAAAAACATGCTGCGCAACATGCGTTCGGATGCCCGACAGGGTGTGTTTCCAGCTTGCAGTGATCGTTTGGCTGCAATTTTATCCGTGCACTTCACCCCAAGAAGTGCGTGGTTGTCAAAATTAGGGTCCCTTTTTGGGTCCCTAATATAGGACGGCACGTAATATTTAGGGTATCCAAAAAGGGACCCTTATTTTGATAGCTACCCAAGTGGGAGTTTCCGAAAATGGGGGACCCTAATATGGCACCCTAAATAGTAGGATCCTTCTTATAAGGACCCCAAAACAGGGTACCCCCATTTTCGGAAACTCCCAAGTGTCAGCAGAGACCACCCGTAGATAGTTCATTTTTCAGATAGCACCTTCTGCTGTGCAGACTCTTTTCTTTGTAGTGCATAGGCTTTTAAAATCCCTAAAAACGGGCGAGATTCTTATGATGAAACCCTAAGCCCTAAACCCTTCTCAACCCGAAGCCCATTATGTATGACGTTTTTTCTATTTTTAAGCAAAAACAACTATATGCCGACCATATGCAAACCCCAACGTCTAGAACCTGATGGGCCCCTCGGCTCAACGCACCCGAAAGCTCCTCCTAAATCCCACCCTAAACCCTTAAGCCCTAGCTTACTTGGAGGTTCCTGTAAAAGGGGTCTGTCAATAAGGGTTACTATAAGGGGATCTATAAGGCTACTAGAATATGCGAAGAGCTATCGTAGAAGCCGAAAAGTTGGAAACCTAATAGCCTTGAGTCCTTAAGAGTAATGTATAGGGAATCCCAGCACTGTTTGGCCTCAATCCGGTTTCCAACTTTATGGGGTTTACTCTAAGCCCTACCTTACTTGGAGGTTCCTGGTTAGTGGGGTTACAAGTAGGGGGAACTATAGACCCATATTAGGGGATTTATAGCCTCCAAGTATCCCCAAACAACCTACCTCTTTAAGGCCTTATATAAGGAAACCATCACAAGGAACCCGAAAAAGATAGGTCATTCAGGGTTAAGGTAAACCCTAAACTAAACCTAAGCCCTAAGCTAAACCTAAGCTTGAGGATACCCGGTGTGGACGACCTGACGATGCTGCCCAGGTGCCTGAACTTGGGAGCAGCAGCAATCTGAGTCAGGATTCAGGGCTTTGACAAAATCGCACTTTGGCCACGAAGGTTTAGGGCTGGGTCCAGATTGTAGCCGCCTTTAAACTCTGCCACCGAAAAAGTGGAAGCCATGCACTTCTCGGAACCCTGTTCTACCCTGTAGTAGCCACACGTTATTGGCATTCAGGAGCTTGTGGTGGAAGAACTTTGCAGCTTCCTCGACACATCGCCCATGCTGGTCCAAGGAAATAGGACGGGGAAGGAAGCAGAATTCAGCCATCTCCCGCCATGGCCGAGAAGAGGGAGGAGACGGATCTTGGCGCGGCCATGCGCTGCGTCGTCTTTGCCATGGGTATCATCATCTCCTTGGGGGCCTATGGCGTGCTTCAGGAGCGGATCATGTCGGAACCTTACGGAGATGAGTATTTCAAAGTCTCAGTCTTCCTGGTGCTTTGCAATCGGCTTGCGGCGATAATGTTCTCCGTCATTATGGTGGCAGTGAAGGGGGAAAGCTACGTCGCCACGGTGCCACTAGGTAGGCCTTTGGTGTATTTTGTAGTTTCCCGTATTGGGCTTGATCGGACCCTATGTACGTTTTTTTTTTATCAGAGGCTTTAAAGGGCAAGCTAAACCCTAAACCCAAACCTAGGCCAATATGGAAGTACCTAGCCGTGTCCTTGTCGAACGTCTCCGCGACCTGGTGCCAGTACGAGGCGGCTGAAACTCCAAAGCCCAAAGCCTAAAACTTCAGAGACTCCAATATCCCTTAAATAAGGAACAGACCCCTAAAGATTCCGAAAAGGGCTCCTTAAAGGGATCCATAAGGGTACTACACGGGTACTAAGGAATATACCTGAAATCATACAAGGGATCCTACTAGTTTAAGGTTACTATATTCCTTAGCTAAGGGATAGTGGAGTCCCTGAGACCCGTGACCTAAACCCCCGAGCTAAACCCTATTATCCAAGACCCAAGACCCCAAACTCTAAAGCCCCCTCAGGCACTGAAGTACGTCTCCTTTCCGGTGCAGATGCTAGGGAAAAGTTTCAAAATGATGCCCGTCATGCTTTGGGGCATCGCGATCTCCGGGCAGAAGTACAAGCTGGCCGATTGGCTGATTGCTGCAGGTGTGACAGGCGGAGTTACCGCTTTCCTGCTCACAGGCGACATCAAGTCGAAGCATGCGAACCAGGGCAGCAGCGTGTATGGATTGCTTCTCCTGATGGGCTTCTTGGCCTGCGACGGCTTTACTTCAACCTTCCAAGAGAAGCTCTTTAAGGAGCACAAGACCTCCAAATACAACCAAATGCTCCTTGGTTGTCCTTTGGGATCTTTTTCAATTTCCCCTAGGTACTATTTGATAGAGAACCATAATAGTACATATTTTTCATAGGGCTTAAAGGACAACTCAGGCTCTATGTGAATGGTAGTTCCTCCATAGTCTCCGGCGCTACGTTGCTGGCTACCGGTGGAGCTAGCAAGGCTATGGGCTTCGTGAGCCTAGGATGCCCAGTAGTACCCTTGTTCCCTTTTTGTAGTCCTAGGTTCCTTATAAGCTTACCCAATACCAAAAAGAGAGGCCTTTTTATTCTTAGGTTACTGGGTATCCTAGGAGCAGACACCCCTCCATCGTCTTTGACGCCTCCTTTCTCTCGGCCTCAGCGGTAACAGGGCAGTTCTTCATCTACTCTCTGGTGAAGGAATTCGGCGCTTTGGTTCTTGCGGCCACTATGAACATGCGGCAAGTCCTGTCCATTTTGACATCATACATACTTTATGTCCATCCCATCAGCTTCATGCAGATCCTCTCCCTCATCGTGGTCTTTGCATCCCTTTTCTACAAGAGTTACATGGGCTACGCAAAGAAGAAGGCGAAGAAGCCCCTAAACCTCCCAAAACCCTAAGCCCTGAACCCTCAGACCCTAAAATCCTAAACAACCCTCAGACCCTAAAAGCCTAAACCGTAAGCCCTTAACGCCTATACACCCTACCCCTTAAAGGATCCCTTAAGGGATCTCTTAAGGGCCCCAGGCGAAGGATGCTGTGACCCTTCCGCAAGCAGTGGGCAAAGCAATTGACGAGGAGCTGGAAGAGTTGAAGGCCAACGAGGACACTTATTGGCCGTAAACTCAACTTTTCAACTTTTGGGGTTCTTATAATAAGGTAGTCCTCATTTTTTTTTAACTTTTGGGGTTCTTATAAGGTAGTCGACTCTGAAAGTTTCAACTTCTGTTTCCTTGCGTTTTGGGCCAGCGAGGAGAAGCCGAGACAGGACAAGGATTTATGGGATTTGCATACCTTAACCCTGAAGAACCTACCTTTTTAAGGACTCATATAAGGAAATCATAATAGGGAACCCTAAAAAGGTAGGTTCTTCAGGGTTAAGGTAGGGTTTCTAGGTTCCGCAGTAGTACCCTTTTGCCCTTTTTCTTATTCGGTCGCCTTATTAAAACCAAAGAGTAGGAAAAAGGGTACCCTTATTACGAAGGGTCTACTCGGGAACCTAGGCGGGTTTTAGGGTTTCGAGGGCAAGGCGAGACAGGAGAAAGATTTGGGGTTTTCAGGGTTTTGGATTTTTTGGGGTTTGGGTCGTTTAGGGCTTTTGGGTTTAAGGGCTTAGGGTTTAGGGTCGAGACAGGACAAAGACATGGAAGATGGCCAGGTTCAATGGAACGACAAGAAATAGTTCGCGTCAAGGCATGCGAAATCCGGTGCACCCTGCAAACGTGAGAAGCCCAACACGGGCGGCTGGAGCTGGCGCGAGCATGGCATAAACAAAGTTGCCAGAAACTTGCATAAATCTCCACACTCGCCACTTAAAAACCCGAAAGACTTGAGAAACCGCATTTGTTGTTTTCAGAACTTTACGGTTGTGTGTGTGTGTGTGTTTCTGTGTTATCCTGTGTCGGGGCGAGTGCTCAGAACTCAGAAGCGGCATGAAGAGAGTTTTTGGGTGTTGCCCAAATTAAATCTGGTGGCTATAGCAGACCTTTCCAAGAGGTCGCATATCTTTACCCAAGCAAAAAGCCCTGCGGGTTTCAGTAGCCCCAGGCCAGCCAATACCCAACTTTGTTTAGAGTTTTAGTTTTAGACGTTAGGGTTTAGGATGGTTTAACATAGGGACCTAAATAGTTGGTGGCGCGCTCGCGCCGGGTCCCTGGTGTTAACCTGGCACACAAATGTAAGGGTCGCACACATACGCAAGGGTCGTCGACAAATGTTCATGTGTACGTAACGTCTGGGATCTATGTGGTGTTCATGACATACAAGACCTAGAAGGCACATACATACTGCATATAAGACACAGGACATGCACCAGGCGGAGAATACATAGTTCTGTACGTGTGGGGCATGTAACAGAGACAGTACATGCAGTACATCTTCAAAAACTGACACAAAGATGTTCTGCCAACCGGAGCAAGCACGCAAAAAATCAGCTGCGGTGCTCTAGCCTTGATGTATTGCATGTAAAGAGAGACAGTAAGGTAAACGCCAAAAAGTTGGAATATGATTATCCTAACCCTTCTATGGTAAATTATAGGGTACCCTACCATGAAACGATATTGCAACTTTCTGGAGTTCCCTGTACGTGCTCCGCATGTCTCTCTTACATGCTCCGCATGTACAGCAAGTGTTCCATGTAGTCTCCGCTGGTGCATGTCTTGTGTCTTACTTGAAGTATGTTTGTAAAATGCCTTTTGAGTCTCTGATGTAATTTCATGTTGTATGTGGCCTTCTATGCTTTTTATGTCATGAATCCCACATAGGTCTCAGAAGTTACATACGCATGAACACATAACGGCGACCCTTACATATGTGTGTACGATGCCCAGAACCTTAAGCCCCAGAGCTCCCTGCCTTGGCCGCAAGTTTTAGAACTCAACTTCACTTGTCGGCTCAGGTCGTTAATAGTTTTTAGGGCTTTTTCAAAACCCAATTTTGCTCAGAAATTAGCATTTTCCCTAGGCAAGATTGCAAGTCGCACCTCACATCGCTACCAGGGTCCTGGTGGGCACCAAATAGTTACCAACTCTATTTTGGGGTTCCCTATTACAAATATAGCATAATGGGCCCCAAAACCCTATTTCAACTAGTAAGGCCCCTACATTAGGGGTTTTGGGTGTAGTAAACCCTCTAAACCCTATATATATATATATATATATATATATATATATATATATATACATATATATATATATATACACCCTAAACCGTGTTAGGATGGTTATATAAGGGGTTTGGGGTCTGGGATCTTGAAGGCCTTGTGCCTCCCAACTCCCTGGCCGGACCAGGGTCGTCACGGCGTTCTGTGTCGCGCTTTTCATCTACAACAAGGCCAGGGCTTTGGGTTCACCCGGAGAGCCCAGCACCCCTTACTGTAGGGGCCTGGATAGTTACTTACACTACTTTGGGGAGGTATCTTACCATAATTTTAGTACCATGGACCCCAAACCCTATTCGAATTCTTAAGGCCCCTATAGTAATTAAGGAGTATGCCTAGCCCCACAATTCTGGACGCCCCAGACTTGAAAGGGATATTCCGTAGTTGAGGGGTCTCGGGCTGGCTGTCTAGTCTAAATAAACAATATACACCGAGGTTCATGGGTAGTTATAAGTAGGGTCATAAGTAGGGTACGTATATTTAATCACCCATATCAGGCGACTTATAACCCTAATAAACACTACCCATGAACCTCCAAGCAACAAGCGGTTTAGGGTTCAGGGTTCCAGGCCGCGGTTGCGGAATGATGGTAGGGGTTTAGGGGTTTAGGGTTCATGGTTTAGGGTTTAGGGTGAATGATGGTTCAACTCTTCGGCTGCAGGAAAGTGGTTAATTACTCGTACTGGAGCTCGTTGGCGGAACTGGGGTCATATCCCACGTTGTATGTAAATCAAGATCTAAACTCTTATGTGAAGTATCTGTCGTTGAACCCTTAAACCCCGAAAACCTAAACCCCTAAACCACTAGACCCCTAAACCGCTAGACCCCTAACCCCTGGAAAGAAGCTGTGAGGTTTCTGCATACGGAGATCCCGACAGTTTTCGTCAGGCGCAGAGTTGCGGTTTTCGGGTTTGGGATTTTTTTTCGGGATTTTGGGGATGTTTCGTCTACTCGTGTCTTTGGCAGTGCTTTCGGGTTCTGCAGTTTGCGATACATGGAGTGTAGGCTTCAGGGGCTTACCTCACCTTACCTTCGTTGTTGAACGCATGCACATGCATTTTACGTAATACGTCAATGAGGGCAAGGAAGTGATACTGGGTCATACTAAGGTGAAAGCCACAAAGTTGGAATATGATTATCCTAACCCTTCTATGGTAAATTATAAGGTATCCTACCCTGAAACCATATTCCAACTTTCTGGAGTTCCCTGTAAGGTGAACGGAATATGAAAAGCTTAGAGCTTAGATGAGCCTCGAAGCTGGAGGGTCTGAGATTTGCCAGCGGTTAGGATGCAGGGTCGAGGGAGTGTTTGGGGTTTCGGCGTTTAGGGTTTAGGGTCATCAGGACCTCGATAGAACATAGTAACACAGCATCGCATACCAACATAACGCAGGGCAACTTCGTGGCCTGGTGGATCTTCGCAAAGAGGCTGACAAGGCTTCTCAAAGCACTGTGCAGAAGACGTCGAAGACTCTGGGCAAAACTGCGAACTCGCAGCGTTACCCCCAGATCTTGAAGGTGGCTGGACAGGGCCTCCTGGACGGGTAGCGCAAGGCGCCGGAAAGGCCGAGCCGCGCATCCTTCCGGAACATGCAAGCTCTCAGTGTGGAGACTTTGCACAAGACCCCTGATCTAGACCCTAAACCAAAATCCCAAACCCTAAACCTTCAACCTTTCTCTAAGCCGTAAACCCCTAACATCCCCTAACTACAGCCTAGAGCCTGAACCTTGGGTGTCGCATCTCGTGTGCTCGCGCGAAGTAAGCGTTTCAAGATCGGGTCTTCTCGAACAGTCCACATAAAACTCTGCAATGAAGTCAACGAGGGTCCCCCCTTTGTAAATACCGTTGAACAACCACTAACCCTGAACGTTGGGGTTCCCTTAGTCTAAGTATGCTGCAAGGTACCCCAAACCTTGTTCTAATTATTAAGGCCTCTCTTTTAGCTTGCTGGAGTTTCTGCTTCGATGCATCCCTCCACACGAGTCTTCTTGGTATTGCAGACCCAAAGTCAAAGCAGGACTCTGAATAGTTAGAGCACAACGTCGATTGACAACCCTGTACAGCAAGCTCCTCAGATGAATTTTGAAGCAATGGACCAATTTTTCGAGGATTTACATGTAAGCCCTGACAACCCTGAATCCTGAACCGCAAGCCTGAAGTCCCTACCAGCCCCGCATCACTGTGCACTGAAACGGAGCCTGAATCTGCGAACCGCTCAGAAGACGACGGAGCCCGAATCTGCGGCAAAATTACCAGAGAGCGCAATTTACTATAAATATTCTGGCAGTAGGACAGAATACTGAATTAAGGGATACGCCTTAAACTATGGCGGCCTTAATATCATGGTTCAAGGAACACAGGGGCCTAAATAATTAAGTACCTATAGTATTTTGAGGATACTTCATTTTGTTTATAGTACCCTCAAGACCCTATTCTAACTATAAAGTCCCCTATCTTACATTCCTCCATTAAGGGGTCTGGAGCTCTGTGGGCGCACCCTAAACCCAAAAAAATCCAGGCACCCTGAGAGGAACCCTAAATTCCCTAAATCCTAAAACCGAAACAACCCTACAAGCCCTGCAGGTGAGTGAGACCTTGGCCGTGGTTCTGTCACTGCTCACCTGGTCCATTCCTTGGGTGACCGGACGGCTGGAAGAGGCTCAATACTCAGGGGTTTATTTTAGGCTTGGGGTTATATGGGTTATAGGGGTTATAAGGGTTATAGGGGTTATAACGGTTATAGGGGCTCTACGGGTTATAGGGGTTATAAGGGTTATAGGGGTTACAAGGGTAAGAGGGGCTATAGGGGTTATAAGGGTTATAAGGGAGGGTTTAGAGTTTAGGGTTGGGGTTTAAGGTTTAAAGTTAGTGCTTGAAGTTCGGGGTCTTGGTATCAACGTTTCAAAGGGCCTACTTGCAAAAAAAATGACCCTTTGAGGAATGTATTAAGTTGCCAAGGGAGCTTTATGTTGGGATTTCGCTTCACGGGTTCAGGGGTGCTTGTCAGTAGTGTCTTGCTTCTTTGAACCCCGTCTTTTCTCGAGCTTGCTCCGGCACGGACTTTCAAAAATCTGATGGAGTTTGAGTGTACTATAGTCTCCTTAGGACTGATATTTTATTGTTGTTCATAGAACCCCAAGAGAATATTAAACACATTGTTTGCGTTATGGTGCCAAGGGGGGTATAGTGTAGTTTTTGGCTTAGGGCTTTGGGTCGACCTAAACCACCATGTTCCAACTTGAGAACCACGCGGCCAAGGCATAAGCAAGCCCATGCGCCCGCAAACCCCCCAGCTGCTAGAGACAGATTTTAGGGTTTAGGGTGGAAGGTCTAGGGTAGTAAAAAGTGGGGTTCCTTCACGGGCTCTATAGGTTTAGGGCTTAGGGGGCAGTGATATGATTTATCATTATAGTTGCCCTACGCTTTACCTACACTTACAATTATAGTTACCCTCCTCCCTCCTTATAATTAACCCTCACTTGACCAATTTGAGCATTAGGGTTTAGAGCTGGATTTTGGACCTAGGCGTTTAGGGGGTTGGGGTTTAGGGTTTTTGGGCGTTGCTTTCGGATTTAGGTTTCAGTCCATCATTCAGAGGGTTCCTTTAAGGTTTCCTGTCAGGATCCAGGAACGTCCAAGTGACTGCACACTGAGAGCCAAACCTGCCGAGCTCAACATCCTCCTATACGGACCTAGCGATATGGGAGTTTCCGAAAATTAAGGGTACCTTATTTTGGGGTCCTTATCATAAGGATCCTACTATTAAGGCTACTATATTAGGGTCCCCTATTTTTCCCATATCAACGTCAACCTGTCAAGCTGTCGGGCTCCAAAATCGTTCATCATAGAAAGCTACCCGTCGCGCCCCTCTGGAACCGAGGGAATCCGAACAAAAAGATCGCTGCCAGGCAGTTCGGCGACAGGTGGATGCCAAACCCAGCTCACGCAAGCCGGGATCCATCCAAACCCTCGCCATCAAGCAGGACGTTGAGGGGTGAGGCCATACTTGGAGGTTCATGGGTAGTTATAAGGTTACCCTAATTACTTCCTCACTTTCCCACCCGTGAACCTCCAAATGCTGCCATACCGGGTTTTAGGGGTCTCGGTTTGGGCATAGTGAGATTTTCGGAGGCTTACAAGCCGCCGTATGTTAGCATGTAATTTCAGCCACAGTTACATAGCTAAACCCCAACCCTAAACGATGCTTCCAGCATCCTTTCTTTGAGCCTTGTAGAGCCTGAGCCTAAGACCTGAAATCTTAAACCCCACAACACTAGATTCTGGAAAGTTGAGTGACATGACCCCCCTATAAACCTTACATTAACCTGTATAAGTTTTCATATTGCATGCCTCAGAAGACACATGGAATAGTTGAAGCCCCTGTCTTCAAAACCTCAGATACAGAAATGGTGACACAGCTTTTGAAGCCGCGATCTCATCACCTAGTTCTTAGCCTTCACGATTAGTTGGGTGTTGGTGAAGCCTTAAATTTTTAGACCCTAAATTCCAAGCCCTAATTCCTAAACCTTAAACCTCAAGCCCTAAACCTTGATACGCTTACGAGGGGCTTCCCAGCGACTCCCCAACCCCAACCCACAAACCCTAAATGCCCAAAACCACAACTTGAACCCTAAAAGCCCTAAACCCTTAGCCGCTATATATACCTCGAATACACCTGAGAGGAGCTTCCTAGCGAGCTCCAGCTCGACATCTCCTGGCTCAGCTCCTCGTTGCTGCGGCTGCGCCCTGGTCTGCTGGGGTTTAGTGGTTCAAGGATGGGCTTTTTTGTGTTTAGGGCCCGAGGCGAGGGAGAACCTTTTGGCTTTATGGGGCTTGGGGTTTAGAGGGTCTGGGGCTACGGTTTAGCGGTGGTGTAGTCGGGCTTCAGGCTTCTTTCGCGCTTTCAGGGTCGAGGGTTAATTTTGAGGACTTAGGAGTTGTGATCCTGGGGTTTGGTTTCAGGGTTTGGGGTTCAGGGTTTGCCGCTGCCAAAGGCTATGTCATGGCACTTGCAGGGCTTAGCGTTGAAAACTCTGGGTCTAGGACTATGGAGTTTGGCTTGACACGCCCGAAAACTTCATTGATAACACGATCCTCTTATCGTCATTACTAGCTGTATATATATATATATATATATATATAAGTATATATATATATATATACTTTAAACCGCCTCACAGAACCACTTGAAGGAACCCTTATGTTCTGATCATGGATTGATGTATTGGGGGTGTAGACCGCTCAGGACCAATGCGGACGGTCTGGCGATTTGGCACGAGGGCTCCACCATCTGCAGCCGTGGCATCGTCAAGAGGTCTGATCCGATAGGAGGGCGACGAAGGGTTTAGGGGTTTAGGGTTTAGGCTTTGAGGTTTGGAGTTTAGGATTACAGAGTCAAGGACCCCTGTGCCACGAAATGAATGGGGACACAGAGGTCTCAAGATTCAGTTCGCAGTGCGCAGTGACAGTAAACCCGGAACCCTAAGCCCTAAACCCTTAAATCCTAACCCCCAAACCTATAAACCCCACCCATGCAGCGAGCCGTGAAACTTCTCGTAGACAGAAACTACAAGGGCTTTGGAAGAGCCACAGCTTGGATGCTTCACGGTTTAGGGTTTACTGTATAGGGTTTAGGGTTTCTTTAAGAGGCCCCAAAATCCTGCTCATGACCCTAAGTCCTAAGTATATCGTAGCTAGCTTTGAACCTGCAAAGCTATGCAGAAACCCGACGTCTTCGTTCCAGGCGCAGGGCCGGGTCGGGCTTGCGGTTTTGGGAGATGGTGTGCCAGGTCCTCTCAAAAAACCGAGCGACGTGAACTGGCAAGAGTCCTGTATTGGTGAGATTCGAAGCTCCGAGGCTCGAGGCAGCAACCTACAGCCGAAGACCAACAACCCTGAGCCCCTGCAATATGGCAGCCAAGGATCAAAGAAGGGTGAGACTGAGTCTGGAGGTACATGGTACAGGCCCTGACAAAGCCCAGCACAAGCACAAATTTGGATGCTGACACACGACGATGGCCGAGAACATGAAGACGCCTTTTTCGAATCACAACAAGCCTGAACCGCCACCCCGAAACCTTATGTAAGCCCTAGACCATTCAATCAAGATGTATTTATATATATATATATATATCTGTATGTATATATACATCTATATTTTTTATACATAGAGGTATATTGATATATCATGATCTGACATGATTTTGAACTATACGGCCATGCAATCTGCTCTGGTGCGAGGCTGAAAGGCTTCGCGGCGGGGTCGGAGTTCGTTCTTCAGGGCCTGGATGCCGCGTGGACTCCCGACGCAGAGCCTCGGCTTCCTTTGGGGAACCCTTAGGGTTCGTTTAAGGTCTTCCGTTGGGTTCTCTTAAGTTCTTCCTTAGGGTTCCTTGAAGGGCTTCCTTAGTGTTCCTTTAATTCAGGTCTTGATCTTAGTGGCTTAGGGTTCTTTTACGGTCTCCCTTGGGGTTCTCTTAAGTTCCTCCTTAGGGTTCCTTCAAAGGCTTCCTTAGTGTTCCTGTAGTTAAGGTTTTGATCTTAGTGGCTTAGGGTTCCTTTAAGGTCTTCCTTGGGCTTCTCTTAAGTTCTTCCTTAGGGTTCCTTCAAGGGCTTCCTTAGTGTTCCTGCAGTTAAGGTTATGATCTTAGTGGTTTAGGGCTCGTGGGTTTTGCGGTTTACGGTTTGGGGGTTCGGGGTCTCGATGGTTTCGGGGTTTAGGGTTGTGATCAACTTTTCATGCCAGGGTTTTCTAAGGCAAGTGCAATAAGGTTTCAATACAGGTATTAGGGTCCAGGGGCTTGGGCATTGAGGGCCAAGAATTACAAGATTTGAGCAGAGAGTTCGGGCTCAGGGGGATTCAGGGGTTAAGGAAACCCTAAACCCCAAGCCCTCAACCCTAAACAAGGCTAGACACCTCTCCGTTCGAAAGTTTCCAGGGAAAGCTCTGACCTGGCCTCTTTAGGAGTGTAGGGCTTCTCGTGAGAATGACCGGCGGGTAGTTATAAGTTGGGTTATATACCCCTAATATGTGTTGTAATTATAGTTGCCCTACATATAACCCCACTTATAACTACCCATCAACCTCCAAGTAGAATCAGCACACAGCAATGACAATACTAAGAATCAGCACACAGCAATGACAATACTAATAGTCGTGGACACAGTCATGATCACCAATGCCATCATCATCGGCAGCATAAGCATTATCATACCATGCTCTGAAACTTCCACGGCCAATGTCGCAAGGGCAAGCGCTGAACCCCTAAAGCCTATACCCCGTACTAAACCGCACCTTAAACTCCTTCACCCGGAGCCCTAAGCGCTCAACCCTTTATCCTGAACCCAGAAACCCCAGAAAACCTACCATTTCAGGGCTCCTATGTAAGTCCGTAAAAATCCAGGTAAGCCCTCAACCCTAAACCCAGAGACCCTATAAAGCCTACCTGTTTAGGTCTCCTCATTCAAGTCCTTGGAGATCTTGGTAAGCCCTAAACCCAGAAACCCAGAGCCCCCTCAAAGCCTACCTTTTCAGGGTTCCTATTCAAGTCCTTAGAAATCCAGGTAAGCCCTAAACCCTAAAGCCAGAAACCCTATCAAACCTATCTTTTTAGGGCTCTTTTATTTAAGTCCGTAGACATCCAGGTAAGCCCTAAACCCGAAGAGGCTCCCGTGGATGGCTACTGCGCCACACGTCGGGGCCTAGGAGCCTTCCCTGCCACTCGGCTGCAGGCGCGACCGCCTTGAAAGGGTATTATAGGGTTCTATGATGGGCTGCCCTTTAGTTCCGCGACCTGGATTTCCTTATATAATGGGGTACTTTAGGCTCCTTTAAAGGGTCTTATAGGGTTCTATAATGGGGTTCCTTTTAAACGGGTACTCTATAGGGTCCTTTCTAGGGTATATATAGGGTTCTATAACGGGGTGCCTTTTAAAAATTGTAGCAACTGGGCTTGGTTGAAAAGGGTCTTATAGGGTTTAATAATGGGGTTCCTTTTAAAAGGGGTGCTATAGGGTTCTAGAATGGGATTCCTTTTACAGTGAAGGAGACTGTCGCCAACGATGTATGGTTGAAATCAAGGGATTTCAGGGTTTAGGGTAGTGCAGACTTCTGATGAATGAACCCCCTTTCTTCAAGGGCCTCTTTGCTAGGATCCCTACTGTATTCGGATATCCTGATGACGAGACAGGTGCTGCTTGATCAGGGGTCTACACCAAGGGGAAATACACGGATCAATCACAATCAGGAGAGGCCGGAACATGCAGTCGGGGGTTTTATGGATACACGATTAGGGTTCAGGGTTTAGGGTTTTTTAGTTTAGGTGCCCAAGAGGGGCAATAATCTCCCTGAGAACGGTGCCATGCTCCATTGGCTGCAAGAAGCGTGCAACAGTTCGTTGTGGTTCGCATTGCCAGGGTGTTTTGAATAATCAAATTCCAGATGTTCGGGCTGCGACTTGGAATATACAGGGGTTATTGGCTTAATTAGGGTAATTGTTCATCGAGACCGGAAAATGTGGTCCACCGGCACCGCGAGCTCGGGAGGTTTTTTTGGTTTGGTAGGACCGAAGCGGATCTTCAATTTTAGGGTTTAGGGTTTTGGTTTTGGGCTCCGGTTCAGTGTTTTGGGTTTAGGTCTTAGGTTTGTGAGTTTGGGGTTAGATGGTGTAGGATTGTTGCTTCCGTTTCAGAATGGTGGCTTGGTGTTTGTCCGGCCATCCGAATCCGAACTCGTGCAACAATTGACACGGAGCTGCAGGGAAAGGGGTTCCCTCGCACCGATATCTTGAACAGTGTTATGCTGTGATACGATGCGTGCTCATTCCAAGCTAAGCCCCAAAAACCCAAAGCCGTAAAACCCTGCGTTCGAAAACCCTGAACAACACTTCTTCGTCCGGATTGCTCAGGAGAACCTTCTGCCAGGGAAGGTTTTGCCCGATGACACTGAGTCAGCGATCGTCAAGCCTTTACCAGGAGGCTCCGGTCCTTTAATACATTCGACGAGGGTTTCATCAGGCTGTGTAGCGGCTTAAGGCGCCTGAAACTTGCCACTATTCCTGAGGGTTCCTTGTCGCACATGTGTCACACGACAGACCCCCTTCTAACTATTGAGGGCCACTGTATTGGGGTTTTAAGGATCTCGGGATTAAGGTTTGCTCCTGGTGGTTTGCTTCTTTGCGAAAGCTAGTGAGAGTGAGTGAAAAAGCCGCCAGATAGAGGTTTCATGTCTTGGGCATGGTGGTAAAGTCGTACAGAAGGCCGAGGGTTTACCAACGTTTGTCCTTCCGGATCCTGTCCTTCTTATAGCTTTTTTTTATAACTTATAACCGTACCACAATATACACCGAAACGTCATCCTCATTATCGCTCAGAAGACCCCAATATTACAGGTCTATCTCCGACCCCCAGCCCCAGCCCCACCTCCAGCCCCAGCCCCAGGCCTAGCCCCCAACCCCCACCTCCAGCCGCAACCCAGCACGCAATGCCTAGATTTTCGAGGCACTGCGGTGTGGGGGGGTTTATAGGGGCCACACGCCACGCCGCACACCCCAGACCCCACACCCCACACCCACCCAGTGCCATTGGTGTGGGTCTTGCGTAGGTGTTTACCCGGCAGTACGATTTGCAACGGCAAGGAGTTGGCCAGAAAGAGCCACCAAGACGTGACAGCACGAATTGTGACGTGCACCAAGACGCGGCAGTACGATTTGTTACGGTCAGGAATTGGCCAATACCTGGCAATACCATTTGTTGCGACCAAGCGTAGACCAGAAATAGTCACCAAGACCCAGCAGTACGATTTGTTGCGGCCAAGAGTGACCAGAAAAAAGCCACCAAGACACGGGCCATCAAGACCTGGCAGTACGAGTTGTTACGGCCAAGAGTGGGCCAGAAAGAGCCATCAAGACCCGGCATAGGATCTGTTATAGCCGGTAATTAGCCGGGACGTTGTTCAAACAAAAAGCCATCCTGTGAGGCGCGACCCTTGATCCTTGCCATAACGCCCCAAGAACAAGAAATAGTGACTCCAGTCGTTTTTCGGCTTCAGTTTTGTAGCTCTGCCATGGCTTCTAAAAAGAACTACCATAGTGGAGAGTCTTTGTGCCCCAACTGCAGGCCTGTCGGTTGCATTCGCGCCGCATGTTGCCGTGCCCAACCTGCGTTTGTTTGATTGGTCGCAGGAAGCGTCACCTCACCCTGCTCCGAACAGAGAGGCCGCCTCTGATGAACTGAAATATTTTGGTTGCGACTTGTGCCCTTCATTCTGGGGCTGGTGACACTGTGGCAAGATACGGAGGGAACGAAATGGAGATGGTGCGAGAAAGGCCGGTGGGCCCAATGCCTTGCTGCCTGGCGTGCCACCGCCTGCATTTCGGAGAGGCGAGCATGGGCTAGCTAGCATGACATACATACCTGTGTGAAACAATGTGACATCAAACTTGACTGACAGGATGAGCGCACCAACAATCGTTGGTGTGTGCCTGGCGGCAGAAACCCGGACGGCCGAAAGCCCTACGTCACCACACATCCGCCGGAGCTGTGGGCCCCTGAGCCCGCTTGACACCCGAGAGACATGCGGCGCTCGGTAAAGACGTGCCTAATGCCAGACACGGCGGCGGCGAGCCGTCCGGAAAAAGGCTAAGCCGGTCCCACTCCTGCCTCCACACGGACCCATCCGATCCTGAAAGCATGCGACGGCCATGCCTCAGTCGTGTAGCAGCCCGACACAATCGACACGCCAGGCCTCAATCCTTCGACGCTGGAGCGTCAACGAGGAGACCAGGTTGGCTATGTGTGTTGCAACTTCAAGGCCTCCTGTCATCGCCCTGAATGCAGAGGCCGTTGGAGCGGAGGGTCAGCGTCTCCTTCGGACATGTCCACATGGCCCTCACAGCACTGCCCTACACAGTCTTGTGGACATTAAACAACAGAAAGCTTCTGTAGCACACTGCTGAGTCGCTGCATCACCGAAAGTCTGCACACGGTGCTGCGCAGAGTTTCCTATCTTAGGTGGAGAGCGGCTGGGCGGGAATCTTTCAAGCTTGGGGCTGCACGAGATGGCTGCGCAGCAAGACCTTGCTTGTGCGCTTCAAGTTCACTTCTGGGCACTGGCAACAACAACCGAAGCACGTGCACGTGAATGCCTGAAGACGCAGACTGACCCACTCGAACTATGCAAAACAGTTGTCCTGTGTACGTTCAAGTGGGAGTCCTGCTGCCTGTGGTTTCGTTGTCGAGCACTCTATGCAAAAGCGGTGGAGAAATGTCAGCAAGAAACAGTGAGTTCCGAGCACCCCTTCACCTTCGCAACCGAGGAAAACATTGCTGCTTTGCATTTGGTTTCTGCAAAGGGATTGTTAGCGGGGGGGTCTGGAGTTTTGGGAGTTTCTATATTGCATAATATAGGGGCTTGAATAATTAACAATATTACTTTGGGATTTCCTTATTATGAGTATTACAGTATAATATACCCCCACACCTTGTTCTAATTATGAAGGTTCCTATATTACCCCTCTTGGACCCCTCTCCCTTAAGGATCCGAAACTATCCTCTTTTCCTGTCTGTTATGGCGTACCTCCCACTTGGAAGGTCGGGGACCTAGTAACTAGGTATAAGTAGACCCGAATTTGGGTCTTGGGGTTTGGAGCGTAGCGTCAGGGTTGTTTCCTGTACAGGGGGCCACCTCGTCCTGTGGTCGGCACGACCCCGGGCTTTTGACAAAGAGGCAGATCGGCTATGGCCACTTGGGCTGCGGTTCAGGATTACTTAAGGGTGCAGACGATTCAGTACAGTCTGGCTGTCAACTAGATTTTCCTGTTGGGTCCTAGAGGAGGGTGGTTCAAGGAGAGAGGGTGACAGCGGTTTGGGGAGGACTTTGGAGCCTTGAGCAATACTGGGTGATCAGGAATTCGCGACTACTAGACTAGATTATGCCTCCCCTTACACCCCCCCATTAAAGCAAAAAACAATCCGGTAAGGATCCCATGCAGCCTCATAGACTTTTGCACAGCAGTTTTTTAATGGTGTGTTTTCTTCGTGGTTTCGGGCCACCAACCCCTGAAGAAGGAAGACTAAATGAAGCCTAACAACTTGCCCTGTTTGTACATTTTTAAGGGTACGAGCGCACCAGGCGCCACGTTGCAGTCGTACTTAGAGAAAGTGCGCGAAACTGCGGTGTTGGACGATTTATGCCAAAAACAGGTTTGTGGCACATCACAGAAATTTCTGCATTTTTTCGAGTAGCAAGATCATCAGCAGCATCATCAGCATCATCATCGTCTTTATCATCAACATCAGCATCATTATAGTCTATCAGGTTTCTCACAGCTTCATCAGGGACTTGTGACAGCTTGTCTCACAGAAACTGGGATCCGGATTTCCCTTCTCACAGGTTTCTCACAGACTTCTCACAGGTTTCTCAAGCGTTTTTCGCAGGTTTCTCATAGGTTTCTCATACGCTTCTCACAGGTTTTTTACAGCTTCATCAGACACTTGTAACAGCTTTTCTCACAGACACTGGGGAACTTAAAACTTTCTCACGGGTTTCTCACAGGCTTCTCACAGGTTGTGCACCGCATCATCAGAGACTTGAAACAGCTTTTATACAGACACCGGGGAGCCGGATTTCATTTCTCACAGAGTTCTACAAGAACCCGCTTGAAGCTTTCGGGCAGATTTCTCGCAGAAAGAAAGACCTTGATTCATTGATGATGTGCGACGGCCGGACGCTATTAAGCCCCCTCCTTTTCCCCCCCGCCCCACACCCCTAGTCCTAGACAGCAGCAGAAACCTTGGAAATGGCCTGTGGACACAGTAAAAACGCATGATGTCACGTGGCAACCTATGCGCCCGCTACCATTTGTAAGTGTTTACGCAAATCATACCGAGGAACCCTCAACTAAAATGAAGGGTGCCGGTAGGCTCTGGGATGTGTTCGTTGTTTCCTCTTGCGTCGGCCCCATCTCTCGAGATCCCGACTATACTCATACGCCTCCTCTTCGTAGCTGAATGAGCACACTTTGCATTGTTTGGATTGTCTGGGATGATGCTATTCCTATCTAGAACTGAAGCTGTACAGTTTTGGGGGCTTATGAACTCAGCAAATAAGTTTTGGTTCCGTGGTCCCCGGACAACATTTCTGAACCCTCCCACTGAAATCACCGGAGCCTCCCGAGCATTGCATCATCCACGGCTAAGGGTTGCCAATGCAGCAGCCAAGCTCGGTGGCCTTTTGCGCCTTTGCTGCCAGCAAGATTGCACGAGAAGGTTCGGAGTTTTGAAGGGCTTATTTGAACCCGAATAACCTACCGTTTTAAGGACTTATAAAAAGGAATCATATAACGAACACTAATAAGGTAGGTTATTCAGTGTTAAGCAAGGTAGAGAATAGAAGAATCACTTCTCACTTTTGTTTGTCGGATCTTTTCGGGGGTTTGTGCTTTGGGAGGCCGTTGGTGGAATACCGCACATAGAATGAGTGTTTAGGGCTTAGGGCTTGGGGAAAGCCGTCACGACCTTACTGCGGCTAAGGAGAGCTCGATTTGTGATTCTTATGAGTGCACATGCGGCTATCATCCTGCGACCTGCGAACCCTAAACCCTAAACCTCTAACCCCTATAACTCCTATAACCCATATCAAGTAGCAGTTTAGGGGCTAGGACCGAGCCTGTCGAGGTGCAGGGTGGTCGCAAAACGAGCCAGACGGGCATCGGGTTTGGCTTCGAGAACCAAAACTTAAGCTTGGGGATTTTCGGGGCTTAGGGTCCAGGGGAAGGGTTTAGTGGTTTGGGGATTCGGGCTTAGGGGGGAAAGGCTTTAGGATTTAGCGTTGTGTCTTGGAGCATTAAAAACTCCCAAACCCCAAACCCTGAACCCACCCTAAACCCCAACCCCAAACCCGAAACCCTAAAGCCTCGCGAGAGAGGCATGGCCCCAAATCCACGGTGCCCGATACCGTGCTGGAGGCTCGGGGTCTAGGGCTTTGGGTTTCGGGTTTAGGTGTGGTGTTGGATTTGGGTTTTTTGGAAGCTGGTGGTCGTGGCCTCCTTTATGGGAATGCTGGGTCCGCGAAGCCGAAGTCCCACAGCGACTGGACTTTTGGTCGCTGGATACTTTGAGGTTCACGGATAGTCAAAAGTGTGGGTATAATCAGGGTAGCTTTAATTAGAACCCTTATTAGGGGACTTATACTCCTACTTATAACGACCCATGAACCTCCCAGTAATGTGGAACAGATGGGTTTCGAATTGCACGATGATTCCAACGTGGTCGGCACTTGCTTGTTTGTGTAAGGATTGAGCGGCCAGGTAGGCATCCGTAATTTCCTAGAGACTCCAAAATCCCTTAGCCAAGGAATGTTCATGACAATCGGACCCTAAATATGGTTTGAGGGATATGCCTTAATAACCTGAACTCCTACTCAGGAATATACCTTGAACCGTAATATTCTGGGTTGTCCTTTGGGATCTTTGTTAATTTCCCCTACTATTTTGTAGAGAGCCATAATAGTAAATAATTTTCAGAGGGCTTAAAGGACAACTCAGTATTCCATGGTATCAGGGCTCCCTTTATTTTGAGGCATATTCCGTAAACTAGGGGCCTCGGTCTCTCTGGGCTGGAAGCTTGTCCGTGCAAGTCCACAGAAGTAGCTAGGATGCCCAGTAGTACCCTTATTCCCTTTTTGTAGTCCTAGGTTCCTTATATAAGTTACCCAATACCAAAAAGAGAGGCCTTTTGATTCTTAGGTTACTAGGTATCCTAGTATAACCTTACTTACGAAGTCCCATGATCTTCCAAGTAGGCCCCAACATGATCCTCTAAACCCTAAACCTATACTCCCGGGTATCCTAGGTAGGGTTTGGGGTTCGGGGTTGGTCCGTGATGCGCGCGGTGCGATCCCTGACGCCAGAAGCCCAGAGCCTCGGAGAGCCTCATGCCGAGGCCTTAATAATTTGATTAGGGTTTAGGGTTTAGGGTTTAGGGTTTGGTTTAGGGTTTAGGGTTTAGGGTTTAGGGTTTAGGGTTTACACTATGCGATGTTGATAGTAGCTGTAAGGAGCCCTAAACTCAGTAATCAAACTGTAAGTCCTCAACCCGAAACCCCTTCCGGCCTCCGTTCTGGACCCTGAGCCCTGCGAGCAGCATCTTATAATGGATGTCATCGTTTTCTAAAGATCAAGTGAACAACCCGGAGTCTGGGGGTCTAGTAATGTTGCGTTTGGGGTTTACCGGATAGGTTAGAAGCTGCCCCCACCCTGTAATAGTGACCATACGGATTATAGTAGGGTCCTATCATATTCCTATTATACCACTATTACAGGGTGGGGGCCCCTTCTAACGGATAGCGCTTGAACACCCTGAACCCTATCTGCTTTCAGGAGTGTTTCGAAGACACGTTGCCCCTGCTCGCGGCCGAGGCATCGGGCAGTCACTGGGTGCTTCTCAGGGTGACTCTGGGGTGTACTATGAAGGTTGCTACAAGGGGTTTGGGCCCAGACCTTCCAAAATCCCTTAATTAAGGAATATACCTTAAATCATATTAGGGATCCTACTATAATTTAAGGTATATTCCTTAGTTAAGGGATTTTGGAAGGTCTGGGGGGTTCAGAGGTTTCGGGATTGAGGGTTCGGGGCTTGGGAGCCTTCCGGGGGTAAAGCTTTAGTACTTAGGGGTTTCGGAGATTAGGCTGCGCAACCCCTAAACCCTAAACCCCCTAAACCCTAAACCCTAAACCAACCCCTAAACCCTAAACCCCCTAAACCCTAAACCCTAAACCAACCCCTAAACCCTAAACCCCCTAAACCCTAAACCCTAAACCTGCAGTTTAGAGAGTCTAGAGTTGTAAGGGCTGCGGTTGGAAAAGAGTTTGCGGGCTCGTGATGTTACGCATTTATAAAGGGTTTCAGGATCGGTTAAACAAAAACTGACCGGGAATGCTACTGCCTGCTTTGCAACACTGACCCTCGACCCTAAAGAAGACCCTAAACCCCAAGCCCCTTGACCCTCAACCCGAAAACACTAGACCCTAAGCCCTAAACCTCAAACCCCTGACAGAAACCCTGACCGAACCCTGGGACCCTATACCCTAAACCTTAAACCCTAAACCAACCAACCAACCAGCCTAACCCTAAACCCTAACAGAACCCTGACAGAGACCCTAACCTAAACCTTCAAACCCCTAACAGAGACCCTGACCGAACCCTGGGACCCTATACCCTAAACCTTAAACCCTAAACCAACCAACCAACCAGCCTAACCCTAAACCCTAACAGAACCCTGACAGAGACCCTAACCTAAACCTTCAAAACCCTAACAGAGACCCTGACCGAACCCTGGGACCCTATACCCTAAACCCTAAACCGTAAACCCTAAACCAACCAACCAACCAGCCTAACCCTAAACCCTAACAGAACCCTGACAGAGACCCTAACCTAAACCTTCAAACCCCTAACAGAGACCCTGACCGAACCCTGGGACCCTAAACCCTAAACCCTAAACCAACCAACCAACCAACCCCGAACCCTGGGACCCTAAACCCTGACCCCTAAACCCTAGCGGAACCCTGGGCCCAACACCGAAGGAGGATGCCGAAGCATCCCGAGACCCGTTTGCACGATTCGACTTGCAGATGCTGGGCTAAAGCAGGTTTTCGGGTTTGGGGTTCGGAGTTCAGGCTTTAGAGTTTTGGGTGTAGGATTTAGAGTTCATGGGGCTTAGGGTTTAGAATTTTGGGCTTAGGGTCTAGACTTAAGGGTTTGGATTTGCAGCGGTCTAGAGCTTAGAGACTGCGCGGTCATGTGGTCTACCGGGGGCTAGGGATGGAGAGGGATGTGCTGTTTCATGACTCGAGGGTTGGGTGAGGAATCTTGATTTTTGTTCCTCTGTACAATGTGTAGCTTACACCCACATGCATAGCTCTTAAAAAAATGCCATCGTTTTTTGGGACCCGCCAATCAAGTAGGCACCGGTTGAAAAGGGCATCCTACTTGCCTGGGTTCTTGTTAAGGAACTTTGCTTGAAGTTACCATAATAAGGAAACCATATTATTTTCTTTAGATCCCTATTATATTTTCTTAAAATAAGTTCCTTAGCAAGAACCCAGTTGTGGTTCCCCTAGAAACCTTGAAAGCCCAGAATTCTTCAGCCATCAACCCGATTTATGAAACGAGCCCGTGAAGGAGCCTAAACGGCTAAACCCTAGGCCCACTTGGAGGGTCCGGGGACTTAGTAAGTAGGTAGTAAGTAGACTTATAAGTACCCTAAACGGGTCCCTAATTGGGGTTATGGTACTTATAAGTCCCTAAAATAACCAGTTACTAAGTCCCCCGACCCTCCAAGCATAGACCCTAAGCCCTGAACCCTGAAAAACCGTGAAAACCCTAAACCTTAGACCCTGAGCACTAGGCCCATAGACCCTAAACCCTATCCAGACAACTCTAAACCTAAACGCTGGAACCTAGCCATGTGTTTCGGAAGCTGGAAGTGGTTTTGCTTCTCCCTGTCCTTTTTTTGCCAGAAATTTGTGGTTTACTCCATATAAGCACTAAACTCAACCCTAAACCCTGCCCTAGGTAGCTGTCACTTGGGATACATCGCAAGCCCTAGTGAGCAGAGCGAGAGGCCCGTGTATCTGCGGAGCTAAAGGCGCACCGCACGTAGAACAACCGTCAACCTTCGGGAAATTGTTGCATGGCCCCTAAACCCTAAAGCCTAAACCCACGCACAACCTAAATCTAGGCGGCCCAAAGCCATTCCCCCAAATGAGGGTGCTGATTCATCTTTGGGTGCCGCCTGAAGGTCTTGGTGTTGGCCACCTTCCACTTCGTAGTTGCTTTAACTTAGGCTTGAGATTTGACGTTGAGGCGAGTTTTACTCTGCTGATGAACTAGATGCGACAGCAATCGAAGTCGCTTGAAAGGAACATTTCGCTCGGATACTCAATGGTCAGTTTCACCCTACTGATCAACTAGATGTTGCGACAGAATCGAAGTCGGTACGAGAGGAACACTTCGTTCAGATACTCCGCGATGGTGTCCTTAGAGGGCTTGCCACGATGGTTCCGAAGGATGATCCGCGACAATGACATTGCCCCTGGACGATGCAAGCTGACTACATGTCAGCACGGTGCCTGAACCGCCCTTTCGACGTGCTTGAGATGTAGTGGCAGTGGGCATTTGGCTGCCGTGACGCCTTGGGCGTTCTGATCCCTCAGAAGCACGAACAAGGGCCCTGGGCTCTGGGGTCGGGGTTGGGATTTGGTGGGCCTGTTTTTGGGGAGGTGCTCGTAAAGAGAAAATAGAAAGGGGAGCGGGGTTCCGGGCAGTTTTGCGGACGACTGCGTGCTGCCTGAACCACTCGGGGAGCAGGAGCGTGCTGCCTCGAGCATTCGGGGAGCAAGAGCTTGCTGCCTCAACCATTCGACAGTCGCTGCGTGCAGCCTCAACGCTCAGGGTAAGTTGGTGACGGACGCTGTAACCTCGAGGCGGAACCCAAAATCGAGGTGGCACTGACGGCTGCACACTAAACCCCTAAACGGACTTTTACTCTTACACTAATCTTCCGCCCTGACGTTACTGCATTCCCGGAATGGAACGTGCTGCTTCACTTTTACGTGCCGACTCGGCGCGGAGGTGACGGCTTGAGTCCGCAACGCAACGACGAGGTGGAAGGACTGTCGCCCCGAAAGGCAATGGCGGAGGAGACGTGGATCGCAGAGCATCCGAGAGCTCACAGGTCCGAGCCTAGCCCGCAGTGGTGCCCTATAGCCCCAACCATTACCCGACCTGCGTTCTCACCAGCCAGCGTGCCACCTCACCAGCCAGCGTGCTACCTCACAGCCCAGCGTGCTACCTCACACACGCCAGCGTGCTGCGTGGGTAGCCTAGCGCTGAAACCGTGACCAAGGCCGTCATGGGAGGCCAGGCCCACATGGCCCCTCTAACTATGCATCTGAAGCACGTCGAAAGGGCGGTTCAGGCACCGTGCTGACATGTAGTCAGCTTGCATCGTCCAGGGGCAATTTCATTGTCGCGGATCATCCTTCGGAACCATCGCGGCAAGCCCTCTAAGGACACTATCGCGGAGTATCTGAACGAAGTGTTCCTCTCGTACCGACTTTGAGTCTGTCGCAACATCTAGTTGATCAGTAGGGTGAAACTGACCATTGAGTATCCGAGCGAAATGTTCCTTTCAAGCGACTTCGATTACTGTCGCAACATCTAGTTCATCAGCAGGGTAAAACTCGCCTCAACGTCAAATCTCAAGCCTTAGTTAAAGCAACTACGAAGTGGAAGGTGGCCAACACCAAGACCTTCAGGCGGCACCCAAAGATGAATCAGCACCCTCATTTGGGGGAATGGCTTTGGGCCGCCTAGACTAAACACCCTATGCCCAGAGACCCTAAACCCTAAACCCTGAACCATCCCTGCGCCCTCCACGGACATCATCAACCGAGGATTCGGGTAGCTCCCACCATTGTCGGCGCGTCCCGGCTGCAGTCCTCAAAGAGCCCAAGGGCCCCCTTAAGGAATGTGCCTTGAAGACAATTTTCAGGGTCCCTTCAAGCGAGTTGATCAGGCTATATAGGGGTAAAAACAGGGTCCAGAGTCTCTTATAAATATTTTATAGGTCCTCAGACAGAGCCTTAATGAAAGAATATGCCTGAAATTATAGACGCCTTGTTGTGATGATTAACGCTACATTCCTGGATTATGGGTTATTGGATTCTCTGGGTCGTGAATGGGAGGCAATGTTTTCAGAGGTAGTTGTCTCTGTGATAGCAACGAGTTACCCTCACGTTAACCCCGAAGCCCCGCAACCCTCAAATCCCTAAGCCCTAAGCTCATGCAGTCTGAGTATGAAAATACACCCGTGGATCCAGAAGCCCCAACCCAAAACATCCCAAACCCTAAGCCCTAAACCCTAAACCCTAAACACCTAAGCCCCCTAAACCCCTAAACCCCCTAAACCCCTAAACCCCTAAAACCCCTAAAACCCTAAACCCAAACCCTGAGCAATCCCCAAACCTTTCAACCGGGGCCTCAGCTCCCCAAACCTCCCAGACCTTCCAAAATCCCTTAATGAAGGAATATACCTTAAATCATATTAGGGATCCTACTATAATTTAAGGTATATTCCTTAATTAAGGGATTTTGGAAGGTCTGGGGATTTTTATCGGAAGCCACAGATGACACGTAATGTGGATGTAACATCTCTCTCAAGCCGTTTGCAAAGAAACTTAAAAACCGAAACCTTACTAACACATCATCATTAAACCCTAACCCCCTGAACCCTAAACCAGTGTAAGCCGACTTTGGCTGGATCATTTCGCAGAAAGGGTCCATTGCACTTTAAAAAAAGCCTTAAACCGTGGCCTAGACACATTAAACCCGGAACCCCTGAACCCCTAAACCCTAAACCCTATAAACCCGAAACCGTGGCATGGTGGGTGAGTGGAGCTGTGTAGGTCACCCCATGAGCGCCTTGAGGTGCTGGGCCTGGGAGTGCTGATCTTCAACCGCCAGGTGATGGGTACGGTTGATGATATAAATCCTTGTATATTTCCTAATACTTGTATTAATAGGAAATATACCATAATTCCTGTAGTTTGGGGTAGTTAAGGCAATGCAGAGTTTAGATCATCAACAGTGCGTGTCTTTAAGGGCGTCTTCAGGGGTTCCTGTGAGGGTGTCTTTGAGGGTTCCTCCAGGGATTTAGGGTTTAGGGTCTGCTTGGAGGTTCATGGGTAGCTATAAGCGTGCTTCTAAGTTGGGTAGCTGTTACATGCTTTTACTGTAACCCATGTTCGGGGACTTATAACCCGATTATTCTGACTACCTATGAACCTCGAAGTATTGCTTGTTCTCGAACGAGAACAACGCATGTAGACCACAGCAGAAGCTTTGCGACATCCGCACCCCCCAAAACCTCACTATACAGGGGGTTTGAATCGTTTCCATGAGATTTTGGTACCGAGTTCGCGGAATGTGGGTTCGGGGTTTACGGCATCTTTGAGAGCCTCGCCCCCAAACCCTAAACCCCAGACTCTGTAAGGCCATGGAGTTTAGGCTTTCTTGGAGCTCTTGGGGTTTACATCCTAGACGCCGAATCACCGAGCACAATAAGCGCTACCAGGACCGTATCAAACCAACCTTTGTAGGGATCCTCATTTCATTGTCCTTACATTAGTTTGGGTTTAAGGGTTCAGGATTCAGGGCTTAGGATCTACCTCAACCCCAAAGAAACCTAGCTTTTCACGGGTCCTTAATCACCGTTTCCTTATAGAAGTCCCTAAAACGGTAAGTTTTTGGTGTCCTTCGTGGCTGCAGGCGTTGGTATTCTCCGAAGCGCCCGGCCCTTGGAACTGTCAGGGTTCATCGTAACCTTTTCGGGTACTAGAACCCCTATACAGTCCCCCAAAGTCTAGCCTCTAGTTGGGACAGTTAAGCATGAGGCTTACAGCTTATGGGTTTTTTAGCGTGCGGCTTGGAATGGCCGCGATGTTTTGGATGTCTTGCATACTGCTGAAGAAGACAATGCTGACCAAGGACAGTACGGCGGCTTCATCCGAAACCCCCATGACATCCCTAAACCCCTAAACCCTAAATCCCTAAACCCTAAGCCCGTTGGCATGGAAACCACCCTGAACCCAAACCGTCCAGGCGGAGATCCTGAATGCGCACCTGCAGCCTTACTAAATGTGCCCCCGAAACCCTGTTCTAATAATTAAGGTCCCTATATTATTCCCCAGAGCCCCTGCATATTTCTTGTTTGAACCCTTATCCGAAAACCCAATGCAACTCGCAGCCGAGGTCGAGGATGGGTGTGGACTGGGCCTCAGTCGTTGACGCAGCATAATGTTGAGCAGCTGCTATTTAGCTGAGCATCATGTAGAGCTACGTATTATAATATATATATATATAGAGAGAGAGAGAGAGCGGGCTTTATAAGAAGAATAGGGCTTTGGGTATGTTACATTCTGTTTGGCGCACGCACTGACCCAACATTCGGCGCAGCCGGATGAGTTGATAAAAGCCTAGGAAACGGGCAACTTGCCCGAGATCGATATTCATCCACGACACCCTAAACCCTAAACCCTAAACCCTAAACCCTAAACCCTAAACCCAAATCATTAGGCGAAGAGTCTTGCCCCCCTTCGGAGGGCAGTTCCGAGGTTGAGGGAAATGCTCGGCATATCCGTACGTCTGACGGGCCCCGTTTTGGGTCCCTAATATAGTATGGCACCTAATATTTAGGGTTCCCAAAAAGGGACCCTAATTTTGACAACTCCCCACTCATTGTCGTACCTATCAGGGTTTTCGGCTCTGGTTTGGTTCAAGGGTTAGGATTTAGGGTTAGGGATTTTCGGTCGGGATGCACCAGAAGACACTTCACGACTCGTGCACTTAGGGGCTAGGCTTCAGTTCAGCACTCAGGGTCTGGGCATTCATGGAGGTATATGTACCACGTTTAGGCTTCGTCAGTGCTTCCCTAAAACCTATGCCCAACACCCCTAACACTAGATCACTGGCTTCGGCCGTTCGCGCCTAGGACCCAGCGCAAACACGAGCCGACCTCTGCGCAGGAGGCAGATGCGGAACAGAGCTTGAAGCTTGAATCGGTAAGTCCTATACGTTTTGTTGACGCCTCAAGGCTCGAGGATTCAAGTTTGGGGTTCAGTCTAGGTTCTGCCTGGACCCTGTGGGACCTGATCTCTTTTGTTTTTTAGGACCATGTACTGAGACAGTTTGTTGTATAGGACTCATGTTGGAGTTGCTTCAAGTTCTCAGAATCCATTGTTCAGGCCGAAAAAACTTTGGGCCCTTAGGCACGTTCTGAGGGAACTATCGACGTCGAATCAACTTAAAAGCTCTTATCCGCCTCGCTGGGTAGCATCCAGCATTCGGTAGTTGCAAGATGGAAAACGAGGGTCAGTACTGAAGCTTTCCTGGAAAAGCACATCTCACAAAGCCTACACCCTGAGCTTTCGCTGGGGTTGAAGCAATCTGCATTGGTCTATTCGAACCATACATGCCAGTATGTTAAAATGCCTGTGGTATTTATAATGACCCTTCTAATAGCCCTTTACAGGAAACGCTTGCGCCTATTAGGCCACCTTGGATTTTTACGTTTGCCGGGCGTTTATCGGGAGATCTTGCCCCACATCGACAGAAAGATTTCAAGACCTGTCCATTTCAGGGTTTGCGATCCTGGGATTCAGGGTCAAGGGGTCTTGATGGCCGGGCACTTCACTTGATGCCTTCTTTCTCCCTGCAATGGATCACTTCATTGAAGTTTATTGACTGGGCTTTGAAGTACCATACTTTAATACTTTTTTCTTAAAGGAACCCTTATGAAATAAAAGTGTATACTTTTTTTCTCCCTGGTTACTTAAAAGCCCAGTTGACCATTGAGTAGCGCATGCAATCGGCTCTTTGGAGCAAAGATGCCTGGTCCCAGCAGCTACGAAGTGTCATACTCAGCTCTTGCAAAGCAGCTTAAACCCTAAGCCCTGAAATCCTAATGCCTCTGCATTAAACCATGCATTGTACACCCTTCCTTTGCTGATCCGCTGTATGCTGTTTCCAGTCCTGGCCATCACCCTCGTGCTGCAGGCCTGTGCTGTAGGGCTTACTGTACTTTGACCCCAAATACCCTATCCTTTTAAGGGGCTGGAACATATAAGATAAGATGGATCCCCAAGAAGTAGAGTAAATCCCGCAAAGTTGGAAACCATATTCAGGCCAAATAGTGCTGGGATTCCCTATAACGCGTAAGGACGAGGCTATTGGGTTTCCAACTTTTGGGCTTCTACTGTATTACAGGGTCACCCAGACCTTCCAAAATCCCTTAATTAAGGAATATACCTTAAATTATAGTAGGATCCCTAATATGATTTAAGGTATATTCCTTAATTAAGGGATTTTGGAAGGTCTGGTCAAGGGAGGGCTTGCTTCCAGCTGCTGTTGTGGGAGTCATCTTGGTTGAGGTCGAAGCCTGGTTCTTCCTGCTGGTAGTGTTATGATAAAGGGATCCTTTAGGGTTCCTTTAAGGGGTCTATAAACGATCTATGGGGTTTTTAGGATTTAGAATAGGGGCTTCAATAATTACCCATACTGTTTTGGGAGGTTCCTCATTATTGTTATAACATAAATATAATGGGGCCCAAAACCCTATTCTAATTTTCAAGGCCCCTATAATATGCTCGCTCTTCTTTCTTAGCCCTTGTTGTTATGAACACCTGTACATGGAAATTTCAATGGCCCTGACTTCGAAATACACTCGAAATCATGTGACTGCGCTGTAGCAGACTAAGTACAACCCCGAATGCCTACAGCCCTAAACCAGACACTTTACCTTCAATCTCCAGACCGGCTGAACTTCCGCGAACCTATTTAAATTGGTTTAAGTATAAGGTGCGAGATGTGATTCCCATGAACCCGTGCATCACATAACACTAAGTTCCATCAACTCTCTCTCAGATCCGGAAAAATTGGTGATATCATCCTTATATATGTAGATATGTCACCAGCGCAGCCAGTGTTTCACCAACAAGAAGACCATGATTCGCACGGTCATCCAAAGGGGTCATGGTGAAAGCCGAAGCCGTCGCCATCATCGTCATCTTCATCGCCGTCATCTGGGTCAAAGTCATCGTCATCCTGAGCAGCGTAGCATGACCATCATCATCAACGTCATTTCTACGGGTACAAGCAAAGTTCCAGTAGCAGCATCAGCATCAGCATCACCCAGCATCAAGATTATGAATATCGCAATCCTCGTCATCAGCAGCATCACCATCAAGCCACCAGAATCGTCATCATCACCATGAGACTGATCTTGGTCGTCACCATTGCAACTTCAACATCACCACCATCATCATGATCGCTAGTAGACTCAGTAGACATGCATATCACCATGACTCCATGACTACTTTCCTCACAGGCAACATCACCACCATCATCATGATCGCTAGTAAACATGCATATCATCATGACCACTGTCCTCACGGGCACGCTGGTGGCTTTTACAATCGTTGCCCTAACATTCGGTCATTGTCGGCATCTGCAGCAGCAGATTTTTGTCATACAATCTCCTCAACAGCAGATATCTGTCATACAGTCTCCTCAGCAGCAGATCTTTGTCATACAGTCTCCTCAACTGCTCTAAGGGCCTAAACCCAAAACTAAACCCTAAAGACTCTCAGGGCCTTGTGTGGGTCAGTGAGACACCCAAGTCGCCGGATGTCGAGGCAGGGGACCGTGGCTTCTTTCTCTGAGTGAACGTGCGGCGACAGTCGGTGTATAATTTGAAATCTGTAGTAACAGATACTATATATAATGTAGTATTTCTTATACAATGGCCGTCATCACCATGACCATCATCACCAGCAGACCCCCCAACTCATCATTGCCTTCGATGGTGCCTGTAGTGTTTGCACGAGCGTTTTACTTAGACCGCTTTTGCTCTGCTCCTGAGAAGGCTTTTCCTGCCTCCACTCTTTTGTATACTTGGAGGTTCATGTGGGATTATAAGTCGCCTTCTTATGGGTCATAAATACAGTTACCCTACTTGTAACCCCACTTATTACTACCCATGAACCTCCAAGTACCATCTCATCTTGAACTGCCGACTGGCTGCCTCTAAAACTTGCACCATGCACAGTTCGTCGATGTTGGTTCGTGGATATTGCTGCGAAAGTGCTGTGTCAATCACTCAACCTTTTGGCTCTGATATTGCTAGTGGTACTGAACATGATGATGATGATGATCATGATGATGATCATGATGGTGATCCTGATGAGGCTGTTGATGATGATGCGGATGATGATGATGGTGATGGTCAGGAATTTCAGACGGCGACGTGATCAATGACCATGCCTTAAGATACCATTGCTTGGCGATCGGTTTGACGATAGTCTCCGATGGTGTGGTGATTGGTATGATGATCAAGACCAGGTTCTGATGATGTTGATGACCAGTGGAATAGCAGGATGCCACAACGACAGGTATGGTCCTCGTTCCATGTTTGTGCAGCTTGTTGACGTCCGAAGCATTACTTCGGTGGATTGGTGGTGTTCAGATTGTGGAATATTGGAGCCGAACGTTCCTCGATGCATTGATTGCATATTCTCGCTATTGCACAATTCTTGAGAACTGGCGGGACACTTCATTGGTTTGAGCCTTGTGTCTAGTTGCACCACCCAAACGCAGTTTTGCAAAGGCCCACTCCTTCCTGAACCTGTCTGTCTGGTCTGCAAGCTATGAGTCTTTAAGGCGTATGATCAAAGTCTTGTGCCCCTAACCCGAAACCTTAAAGCCTATTAAACCCTAAGCCCCTAAGCCCCTAACCCTAAACCCTAAACCCTAAAGCCTAAACCCCAAGCCCTAAACCCAAACGGTGTAGTCCATCCCCGGGACCTTCCGTTCTCAAGGCCACAGGCGGGAGATCATCCTCGCTGAATTACATCGCAGTTTGTCTGGAAACATGTGCCCAGAGGGCCTGAAACCACTACTGCGACCCTGCACCCTAAACCCACCTTAACCCCTAAGCCCTAAACCCTAAACCCTAACCCCCCCGTTGAAACCTAAAGGCTAAACCATCCTAAGCCTTGAAACTCAGCCTTTCTTTTTTTGGTTTTTAGGGTTTCGGCCTGCTTGTCTTTCAAAGCCCCAAACGCTGAAGCCTAAACGTGAAGGCTGGGGTTGAGGTCCCGGTTTCGCGCTCAGGGGGCTAGGGCTTTGGAGTTTTATAGTGTACTTCAACCCAGAATGACCTACGTGTTACTTGAAGGACATATACGAGGAAGCCATAAAGTTAGGTCCTGGGCCGTTCTGGGTGTAATTTTGGCCAGAATCCCTTCCGCGAAGGACACGACGGAGTGGGATGATGCCCGCAACGTCCTGCACTTCGACTGTATACTTGGAGCCTGCAAGAAGCGCCCAGCAACCCAATGCACCTTAACTAAGGAATGTGTTTGAACAATTGTTGCGGCCCCTAAAATCCAAGGTACATCGTTTCCTGAATGAAGGTGAAACCCTGAACACACTGCATAAACCACCGACTTCCTCACGACATCTGCTTACACATCGCTGTGTGCATGCCTCCACGGGTGAGTCACTGCAGTCCCCGCATTCCTGGAGACCCTGTAAAGATGAAGAAAGGCTTACCTGGACCCTAAGGAAGCTACCTTTTTAAGGTTCCCTAATATTTTTTTTATATAAGTCCGCAAAAACGTAGGTTACTTGGGGTTTTAGGTAATGGTAGTAGCTGAGTGGGTACACTTTACACTGTTGTGAACTGGGTAATGTAGACGCCTGAACAATCACGAACACCTTTCATTAAGGTTCCTTGTTGTAGTTATTCCACAGACCATATTCCAATTAATTAAGGCCCCGACTTGCACCCTAAACCCTAAACCCTGGACCCAGGTTGGAACAAGTCAGCCTACGTTCGATCAGAGCGTTTGGGGGTGTAGGGCTTGGGGTTTAGCGTGTAGGGTTGCAGGGCTTAAGGTTCAGGGTTAGTATTAGAGGATTCATGGCATTACGGTGGGGTTCATCGTGTAGTACCCTTAAACCCTAAACCCCTAAACCCTAAACCCCTAAACCCTAAACCCCTAAACCCTAAACCCCAAACCCTGAACCCTAAACCCTGAACCCTGAACCCCGAATCCCACAACTCTAAGCTTTAGCTCAACATGGGAATTAGGGTCTTGGGTTCATAGTCGACACATCCTCCAAGTTTTCTTAGTAGCTGAGTGGACACACGTTACACTTTTGGGGGTAAAATTCCTCACTATAAAACTGCAAGTGTACACTTTTGGGGGGCTTATGAGCTCAGCAACTAAGTTTTTGCCTAGTCGGTCTTGGCATCCAGGCCCTGCGCAAATCCTTTCTGGACATGTTGAAGGGTTTCGGTATTGGATTTTGGGGCTTAGGGCTATTAGAGTTTGGGGTTGAAGGCCTAGGGTTTATGTAAATCTTAGCAGCCCAAATCCCTCCTCGCAGAAACCGATCGGTACGCAAATCTCCGAAGGGAACGACGCCGTTCCGACTGTGTGGCCAGCCTAGCGTTTAGGGTTTTAGGGTTTCGGTTTAGGGTTTAGGGGAACTTGGACTTGCATCCGGTCCCTTTGGTGCAGCCTTCCATAGTCTCGGTCTCACCAAACAAGACATCTCCTAGGGGTATTAAATAGTTTCAATATTTGGTTCCTATAAGCCCTAACAAACAGCCAAACTGTAGGGGTCTAAGTTCGTGTAGATCTCACTCAAGTGACAAAGGCGAAGAAACGAGGCTGCTGCGGACGGTACATAAGTCCACTACCTTCTTGAGGCTTAACGGCTACAGTATTGCCACAATGTCGCCGAAGTTCCAGATGTTTGCACAAGTCTGCACCACTTGAAAGCTTATCGGACAGAATGGATGATTTTTGGCGACGAAAAAATCTCGCAGGAACAAAAGCTTTCGGTGCTTCGGACTCAGCTGGCAAACCTGTTCTCTTTGACTGGAACTGCAATGCTGGAGAGGCATACATACAGCATTGCCGGCCGTCGCATGAAACATCCTCTGGAGCATCTGGCCGGCCAGCAAGGCATACATTATCGTTTGCAACGAAACACCTACAAGTATCTGCTTGAGAAATCTACGACAAACACGCCGTGGGAATGTTTGCGGTGTGCGTGCATCCAGGCTGCTCTCCCGATGTCTTCGTTGATGAGGTGCCTGACAAGTGCCAAAAGACCGCTACGCTGATGAGCATTTGGAGAAAGCAGGCCAAGCAAGACCGTTCAGCAGGCACCGCTGATCTCCCGCAAGACATGCAGGTGGCTGTCTACCAGAGGAGCTTCGGACGTCTGTATTGACACGTCCGAATTCCTTGACAACTTGGCCCTCTGCAAGCGGATGACACGCTTTCTTTTGGAGGAATGCACGCAGTGTTACCATGACACATGCCCAACTTGCCTATCAGCGGTCCAGTCTCATCCGTTGGGAAGTCGAACGTATTCCCTTCGCACGGCCTCGCTGTCATGGTTATATGTCCACTCAGACTAGTTATTGGGACGCGAAAGATTTGTGGCTTCCGTTCCGCTGGAAGCGCGCTATAGGCCTTCAGGTGCAGGAACACGTTCGGTTGGCTTCGCAATTGCCGGGCTAGCGAACTTGAAAGATACAACATTGCCGAGGCGGCTAGGGACTAGGTAACGCTAAGGAAAGGTAGACAAGGCAAAAATATTGTACGTGTACTCTTGCCGACAAGTGTCAGATAAACCCTTGCTTGCAGCATGGAAACGGAAGTGAGCAGGCTCATGCGGCTTCTTTGCACACGCTCCACAAAGCCCACAACAGCGTGAGGCGATGGGGGCGTGCCAAGTCGATTGCAACTTTAGAGAAAGCTGAAGACGTGACATGCATCGCGAGCGGGCTAAACCCCCGCGAAGCTCGAGTAGCCAGGCGCAGAAAATGCGTTGACCGACATGCTTGAGCACTGGCATGCACTGGCCCTTGCTGCCGTCGCACACGTGCAGCCTCCTTATGCATGTTTCACGAAGCGCAGTGATCGAGAGGCGCGCTGCAGCACTCATCTGGGCTCTCCTCCAGGTCTTTTCGGCTCGCATCATCCTCGATGCCCGGGCAATTCAGGTCGTCAGCATAGCAGGTCTCGAAGTTTCCTTTATGTTTGGACGTCGGTGCGGTGTCAGCACAGGGCTGAAGCGAACAAAAAGGCATCGCGGAAAATGCGGGGCAGTGCCAACTGCGGCAAGGGACTCGGCAAAGGCTACGGAAAATGCAAGTCCACGAAAGGGTCAAACTCGGACACGACGTGCAACCAGCGCTCCGCTGGCAAGGGCAGGAGCAACGAATGGAGCTCGGCGGCGGACCGGGGTCAGGGCTGGAAAGACGACAAAGGGCAGAGCAAAGGAGGTCTGTTGGAACTACATTTCAGTCGAGTGGGCAACAAATTCTGCTCGGTGTTCGTCTCGACTCCAAACCATCCAAACCCAAACCCTGCAAACCCCAAACCCCCAACCATAACCAATTAAAGCCTTCGATTTCTTTCGATCTGAGATGGGTGGACCCGCAGCTCGCTGAGGGCGCTTGCCAGGAGCTCGTTTGGTCTTGGAGCACCTTGGCGGCTCCAAGATGTAGGGTTTTAGTACGGGCTTTAGGGTTTTAGGGTTTATAGGTTTAGATGGGTTTAGGGCTTCAGGTTTTTGAGTTTGGGCTTTAGGGCTTGCGGCTTTGATGGCTCAACGGGCTTGCATCATTCTGGGGCTTGCACGAACAGTCTCCCATTTTAGTCCCTATGCCGTATATAACTACGATGTAATGTAGCCCCTAACACTTGTCTGTTTATAGTAAGAGCGAGGCTCTACACCCGCAAACCCCCAGTTTCATGAGTACCTTGGGTTTTGATTGTGTATGTAGCTAGGGTGTCTTTTTGATTGTATGGTTTGGGGTTTAGGGTGTAGGGTTTAGGTTTCATTTTTGTTATAAAGATCCTGACTGGCGATAATAATGACGATGATGGTGATCGTTGTAACTACGGTAATGGTGGAGATGAGGGTGATGACGGTGAAGACATTGGTGATAAAATATTTTTCCATGCAATCCGCTGCGCACGAGACCGAAGAAACCTGAAACCCTTGCATTGACACCTCCTTGCACCCGAAGCCCTTCATCGCCCGGACCGCAATCCCCCCAAAGCCTACTTGGAAGTTCATGGGTGGTTCTAAGTGGGATTATAAGTCCCCTGACAATTAAGGGTTGTATGTATATTTACCTTACTTGTAGCTCCATTTATACCTACCCATGAGACAAGTAAGGTGCATTCAGCAAAGCCACGCGCGCCTGCTCCATGGCACTTTTCTGGCGTGACAAGTGCGTGATGCAGGCTGGACGTTCGTGCTTCAAGCAGTAAGGTCAAGACTCGGGCTTTGCAGGTAGTAGGAGGGAGCCCGCCAAACAGGAACCCAAAAATTAATTAGACAAGTATACAAAACAATGCCCTATTCTATCCCATTCTTATCATCAACGTAAGGTTCCGATTTTGCAGCCCAAAAATTCATTAATCCTTATGAGCCCGAAAGCCTCATCAAGGGTGGCTTGTTCCAGCCGGGCATGGACCCCGTTCAGCGCGACTTCTGCAAGGAGGCCGAAGCTTCATGTGAGTTGGCGGTCCGGGGAGGGGGTGTTTAGGGGGTCATAGGGTGTCCTTAACGGGATCCATAAGGGGGGTTATGGGACATAGTACCTATGGCTATAAGTACCTCAGTTGGGTTATAAGTAGTTATTAGTTGTAGGTACAGTTACCCTAAACCATCCTGAACCCCAACCGCGAAGCCCTAATCCCCCAAACCTCTGAACCTTAAAATTCTAGAGCCCTACACCCTAAACCCTGCGAAGCAGCCAGGACGGAGGCTGCGATCCTTGAACCAAATAGGGCTTAGCATTGATTGTTTAGGGGTTTCGGGTTTAAGTCTGGCTTGGAGTTTGCGATTCGGCGTGCGAGATTCGGGATTTGCTGTTATTGGAACTTAAAGCTATAAAGGGTTTTTTGGTTCATGACGGCTCCGGGTTGAATTAACCTGAAGCCCAGCGCCTGATCTGGTTTCAGGGTTTCGGTACTTTGTCGGTGTTGCTTTCCATGTTTTTCGCTTCATTGGTCGGGTTTGTAGGAAGCAGGACGTAGGTACTCAAGGTGCTCGTCGAAGGAAGCAGTTGTCCACATGACCTGTAGTAGTAGTGATCCCAATTCGACAGACCCTTTATAATCGCGTGATCTTCAAGTCTCTACGGATGTTGCGAAACTCCATCCAACCTCAAGCCTTAAACTCGTGACCCGAGGCCCTGAATAACCCAGGAACTCCAACGTCCCTTAATTAAGGAGTATACTTTAGATCATAAAGGAAATTCCATTATAGTTTAAGGCATATTCCTGTTCTTGATTAAGGGGTATTGGAATCTCTGGGCATTAGAAACCCATCCCTAAACCCTAAGTATACAGGGATCCCCATATTAAGGGCTATTGCTTGGAGGGTCGCGGGACTTAGTAACTGGTTATTTTTGGGGGCCATAACCCCAATTTGGGTCCTTTTTAGTGTACTTATACGTCTACTTACTACCTACTTACTAAGACCCCCGACCCTCCAAGTAATTATTCAGGGATCCCCTTATTAGGGCTATTGGCGTCTCTGGGAACCTCCCCACAGGTCATTTCCATGGGAAAGGGCCGCTACCTGGCGCAGCTGAACAATTATCCAGCCAAGGACCCCCCCCCTACATTTTAGGGTTTAGGGAGTTTTGGGGGAGGTTGCGGTTTAGGGCTTCGGGTGTGGGGTTTAGGCTTGGGGGGGTTAGGATTTAGGGTTTAGGGTTTCTCGCAGGAAGGTTTAGGGTCTTGGGCGGATTCTTATACAGGGCTTGCCCCAAGATATGGATCCTGTCAAACATTTTTCGGATCCTGCAAAGCACGGCTCAAATTTGACAAGACATGACAAGACATTGGTTCAGCAATCACCGACGTTACATGAGCTAGTTGCTGTGTCCGTGTGGCATGACCGTTGGCAGGTTGTTCAGGATCAGCTGGCAACACTTGCAAGCCCGAATGCCACTGTGCTGTTTTGTGTGGGTGCAGTTCTCTAAATCGGGGTCCCTAGAAAGGCCCTAGAAGGGATCCTAATATAGAGAAATATCCTTGCAGCGCAACGTATCCTGCCAAAGTCTTTTGAGGGCACGCCAATGAGAAGCGAGGAGATCAGAAGACAAACAACTAGACCTCTATTCCCTTATAGTCCATAATATAGTTATACTGTACTATAACGTACCCAAAAGCCCTTCTCGTTTTACATAGCTTTGCCTGTATTCAAGCGCGGAAGCTGCGCCCCTAATGCCACCCGCTGGGGCCGTACCGCCCATGACAAGGAGGAGTTCTTGGACTTTCTGCCAAAGAAAACTCAGGCAGCAAAGCGTGTACGAGTTCTTGACTTTCTGGCAGGGCTAAGAAAGGGGTCTGTATAGCTAGCAATATTCCTCCCTGTAGTCTATATATTTATACTATACTATGCTACGTCCCGTAGATCCTATTCTAATAAATAGGACCCTTATCTCAAAACCTGCGAAACCGTGATAGAACCCTTTAAGCACCCTATAGATCTCTTTAACCAAAAAAAACCCCTTATTCCCATTTTGCTTATTACTGTTAAAGCCGCTATATGCGCAGCGGACAGGGATGGAAGCAGACATGTCATGTCAACACGTTCACAGCCAAACCCGCTCTAAACCCTTTAAGGTGTCGGGTTTAAGGCTTAGGGGTTCGGATTCACTCGCCAGTGCAATGGCGGCACCCTGTTTATACTTTTGCATTGAGCGAAGCGTTTCCGCTCTGAGGGGCTGATCCTCAGCTCTAAACGAACTTGCTTCGCTGCAGTTGTTGTCATCATTTGGTCGCTTTGCTGGTCTTCTCTGCTTTCGTTGAACTCACTTCTGCCCGCCGCCCGCCTTCAGAAAGTCACTGGGCCACTTTAGCTCAATTCGTAAATCGTCACCGGAACGCCCACCGCAGCACCTGCTGGTTCCGCACGCATAGGGTCACCGTATAGACACGGGAGAGTGTGTTAATCAATCATGCCGTACTTTCGCTTTTTGGGATGCCCACCTGTGTTTTCGACACCTGGACAACGATGTACGAGCTTGGTGTTTGGAGAGCAGCAGGAAAGCAAAGGACAGTGATCGACAACCAAAGACCAGTCTGAGTACAAAGGTTTACTCGAACGACGCGTTCAGGTTCCGTCTTTCTGGGTAAGTAGCATACCCAAGACGTCATTCTACTTAAGGGCCCTACATTACAGTGCTCTGGTTCAGGCGCTGTCTTCTTAGGTTTCTAGGCTTTCGGGGCTTTGGGTTTGGGCACACGATGCTTACGCCCTTCTGGTTTCGGGAAGACGAGGCGGCATAGGACATTTCAGGATCGTGATGTCAAGCTATTGGGTACTGCCCCCACTCAGGAACAGTTGGATAATATTCATAATATAGAGATATAAGGACCTTAATAGTAGCCCTATTATAGACTGTTACTGTAGGGGGGCCGAAGGGGCCCCAAACAAGCTACGTGGTACTGTTTCAGACCAGAGTGCTTTTGGCTGTTATTCTTGCTCCGATGTCAACTTTTGGGACAGGCCTCGGAGGATGAGTAAAGGCATGCTGGATTCTTAAGGTTTAGAGGACTTATTAGATACTAGATATCATATATTACGTAGAGGTTATATACTATATGGGTGGTTGTCAAAATTGTGGTACATTTTTGGGTCCGCATTATAATACGGCACCTAATATTTAGGGTACCCAAAAAGGGACCTTAATTTTGCCAACCACCCATATCAGGATACATGGTTGAAAGCCTCCATAAACGGTCGCAGGGCCTGCTGCTGACTCCGCTGCGCCCAGCACGAAATGCCCCAGCGGCAAGGTTCTCAGAGACGCAGCCCTTGTTGGGGTATGCTGGTTGTTCAGGCACCAATGACAAACGCATGGCAAGGCAACACCTGCAGATTTGGTGACAAGGATTACTACAGACGTGACATAATAGGTTATTATCGTTGTATTTAAATCTGTTAATATAATTATGGTTATCAATACGATTATCAGTATTAGTACTACTGCTAACATTATTAAGTATTTCCTGTTTCACAGCCACCCGGAGTAATCTTCCATGCAATCCAACATCGTGGAGTCGAAGGTTGGCAGTACAAAATATTGCAGTTCGCTACTTCCCGCTTGCTCTTGCATATGGGAGTTTCCGAAAATTAGGGGTACCTTATTTTGGGGTCCTCATAATAAGGATCCTAGTGTTTAGGGTACTACATTAGGTCGCTATTTTCGAAAAAACTCCCATGTAAAGCAAATCCGCAAAAAGGTCTGCCGCACCGGTACCATCAGCACCGGTACGATTGATGATATAAATCCTGCATTACCCATAATAAGGAATATGCAATAATTCCCATAGTTTAGGGTCCTTAAGGTCATGCAGGATTTTTATCGTCAACAGTACCACCACCAAAAAACCACAGAGCGATTCAGACAATGCTTCGAAAGCAAAAGCGAAGCTGTCAGCAGCTGTAGCAACGACGACGACAACATCGTGCCTCCAGCACCACCAAGAACAACATCCATAATCCATATCATCAGTAATCATGATCACAGTCTCAATAGTAAGCAACTTCAATAAGAATTTTGTAATACTAGCACTACTACTGATAATAATACTGTTAATCATAATACAACTAGCAGTAAATATAGCGGCAATACCAGTAACAGCAACTGCTGCAACAGCAAATAAATAGGTGTGTCACCCCAACACCACATCAACACCTCGCCACCATCAGGACCACCGCCTTCACTTAATACAAAAACAAGCAGTATTATCGAGGCTGGCTTGTTGGTCTTGGGCTTGAACGCCATGCGCGGCTTTGGCAAGGCCAGTCCCTTGAAGCCCTAAACCCTAAACTCTGCAAGAGGGTCCTGAGTTTCGTTTCGGCGATGCCAATCTCGAGGGCAGTAGCACAGTGTCTGCAGGAAGCAAGTAGCAAAAGGGGTAGTTCTTAGATCGATGCCATTAGCGCACCGATGCTCGCGACTTGTCCCCGGGTGCATTCTTCAAGCATCAACAGGCTCTAGCGCGGCAGCGTCAAACATGAACGAACCAACACTGGCAAGAGCCGAAGCAGCTGAGACCAGCAGCATAGTAGAGTTAGTTAGTTGTGTAGTAGCAGTCGACTAACGGGAGCAAGTTCTTGAGTCTTGAACTTAATTAGTAGTATAGTAGGTAGAATTTAACCCTTTTTGGGTAGTACAGTCCCTATATTATCCCTATATAACCAAAAAAGCTAAACCTTTAGTTCCCCTTGATACTTGACAAGTAGGTGAACTTACTTACGCGCCCTAAGCCATGGACTCCTACACCCAAAACCCGAAGTCTCCCAAGCCAAAAATGCCACCTGCAGCCGATCCCAGCTTTGCCCCGGGGTTTTGGGGTTTCGGGTTCAGGGTTTAGGGTTGCATCACCCTAGACCCCGAAACCCTAAACTTTCAATCAATGCGTTAAAGAATTAACTCGAGCTCCTCAACCCCTCGACCCCAACCTTAAATCCAAAACCCCCAAAACCCTAAACTTTGCGTGTATCACCGTCGTTTGCCCCAGTTTGCTTGCGATCAATGTGCGAAAAGCGCGGCAGGAGCGGCACTTTCGGCTCTTAGCATGTCTTAACATGGCGTCAAAGTCAATTATGATATGCGGAGCAAAAAACGCCAACACGATATTTCTGCTGTTGAGGACTGAACTGTATCGGGTTGACTCCCTGGAAGCTTGAGGCCAGAATCTGCACAATGATTGGCTGGTAGCATGCACGCTGATATGGTTTGGGCATGGATGGACGTTAATGTGGTTTGGGCACGGATGGGCTGGTATCATGCACGTTAATATGGTTTGGGCATGAATGGGCTGGTAGCACGCACGGTGATATGGTTTGGGCATGGATGGGCTGGTAGCATGCACGTTAACATGGTTTGGGCATGGATGGGCTGGTAGCATGGAGGTTAATATGGTTTGGGCATGGATGGGCTGGTAGCATGGATGTTAATATGGTTTGGGCATGGATGGGCTGGTAGCATGCACGTTGATATGGTTTGGGCATGGATGGGCTGGTAGCATGGAGGTTAATATGGTTTGGGCATGGATGGGCTGGTAGCATGGATGTTAATATGGTTTGGGCATGGATGGGCTGGTAGCATGCACGTTGATATGGTTTGGGCATGGACGGGCTGGTGGCATGCACGTTAACATGGTTTGGGCATGGATGCATTGGCGATTGGACATGTGCTAACTGTTCCCGCATGTAGACCTGAGCGACAGAGAAGTGGGGACGAAGAAGTGGGGCAAACGAGGGCGATGGACCCTAAACTTTGAGCTCCAAAATGCTTTATGACTTATGGCCCCAAACCCCCAAACCCTAAACTTCGAATCCGGAAACCCCTAAACCCGCACCTTGAAACCTCTAAGATGCCCAGTGGTACCCTTATTCCTTTCTTGTAGTCCGAGGTTCCTTATAAAGTTACCCAATACCACAAGGGAGCCCTTTGTATTCGCCAGTAACCCTAGCTTAGGTTTAGGAGTTTAGGATTCATATGAGGAACCCCAACAAAGGCCCAAGGTTTCTAAGCCCTAAACCCTTGCTTACTGGGCACCCTAGACCTGAAACAGGTGGATCAGGCTTGGGCTGCAGCCCTTGCAGAGAAGCTGGCAGTCACACTGGACTCCTCCGACTGATCTGGGGGTTTCCGACAAAAGGGGACCCTAGTAAAGTACCCTACATAGTAGGATCCTTCTGGTAAGGATCCCGATTGTAGGTATCCTTAATTTTCTGAAACTCCCATCTGAGGTTTTCAGAACTTAGGGGTGCCCCGTATTAGACCCTACCATTCTTGCGGGTACCTTTTCGGAGTCCTTATATCATAGCAAGGCCCACTGGAGGATTCGGGGTGCAGGGTTCTGGGTCTTGGGGCATTGGGGTTTAGGGTCTAGGGGCTTAGGGGTTCAGGGTTCAGGGTTTACGGTTTGTTCGGAACGATTGTTTTTTGCCGTCAGAACTGCGGGTGCATTGAGTACACGCGGTTTGCACTTCCATCAGATGTAGGGTGGTAGGGTTCAGCGAAAGATTGATTTTCTTGCGACTTCGTCGCAACTTGATTTCCTTGCGGAAAACACAAGGCCACATTTATAAATCAGATTCATATTTTCAATGTTATCGGGCCGTATTTCTGAAATATAGGATATTTCAAATGCCGTAATCTATACGTACATATACGAGAACATGATATTATATACGACCGTAGGTTCTGCTTACAGAAAGTTTATTAAATTAGGTATGAGTACTCAATCATTATTTCTTGAGATAGTTCAGTTACTTATCGAAATCTGAATAGTGCTTTCTAGATTAGATTATCGGGAACTAAAAAATGAAAGTTTATCTTTCGAATAGCAATGAATGAAACATGTTTACATTCATTAGAAAATTGTTGAGGGAAGTGAATATACGAAATGTGTATAATTACCCTCGTAGTTCTTGGTGGTTTTATCTTGTTTATTCTCTATTTAAGATGGTGTCGTGCTGCTGGCATCCGTGATTCTGTGTGCACCCCTGCCCCCCTGTAACTTGGTCCTTGTCTGCATTTCTTCGTGAAAACCTCTTGCATGGTTGTCTCGCGTGACTAAAATCCTGAGAGTTTTAGCGTCCCGAGCAAACCTCGCCCGGTACTAGAATCCCGGAGATTTTAGTAGCTTTAGGAAATCTCACGGTATTGATTTAGGTAGACATCCTCGCATAATAAAATTCGACAGGTGATTGGGCTGCAGTGCTGCTTGATGAATGAAACCAAGTATCACTCGCATGTCAGGGTTCGTGTCCGGGTTCGCACTTCGTTTGCGGTTGGTGTCCGCGGTCCGTGTCGGTTCGTGTCCGGTTCGTGCCTGGGTTCGTGTCTGGTTGGTGTCTGGGTTCGTGTCGGGTTAGTGTCTGGTTCGTCTCTGGTTCGTGTCCGGTTCGTGTCCGGTTTGTGTCTGATGCGTGTTTGGTTAGTGTCATGGTTCGTATGGGGTTCGTGTCTGGTGTGTGTTCGATTCGTGTCTGGTTCGTGTCCGGGTTCGTATCGATTCGCGTTTGGATTCGTATTTGGTTCCGGTCTGGTTCGTATTTCGATCGTATGGTTCGTAGCTATTTCGTATTCATGATTGTGCCGTCGATTTTCGCGACCCTGTTCATGAATATTTCGTTATAC